TCCTCCGACCGCCTCCACCAGTACAGGCCCCGGGGGGTCTACATTCCTATGCTGCATCAAAGTCCAGCTCGATGTCCCTGGCCGGGCCCTGAACGCCAAAGGACTTTTTATTTCCATGTTCATTTTGTCATTAAACTCTTTTAATCGCCTTCTTTCTCCGTTTGAGTCTCTCCAGATTGAATTAGACATATTTGAAATACAGGAGAAATGCACAAAAAACATCAGTTTAATCAATGATTTTCAAATTTCTTTTAAATGCAGAAAGAGATTTAAATTGTTTTATCTCACTTCTATAAACTTTAACTGAAATATGTCATTGTCATTCTAAATCTTAATCTTTTGAATATCTCAGGGGATTTTAAATTATATTTGCTTTCATTAGAAATCTTATTTCTTCTACAGTTTCTAGTAATTCACTCTTCTCTTCATATCAAGACAAATGCTACCAAAATGATCAACTACTGCTAAATAAGATGCTTTGAAAGCTGCGTAGAACTTTATGGAGAAAATTCAGATGAAAGTGTTTACTTTGTGTCTCATTACAATAGGTTTTGATTAATCCATGCAAAATTCCCCTTAAAATCGAGCTGCTATAAATTACATTAAAAAAAATCTTACCTTGAGTAACAAAATACTCAGTTAACACCTTGTCATATACATTTACTTCTTTTATTAATTTTCTATAAAGCTGCACAACACTATATGCGAGGTGAATTATGATCCATTCAGAAGAAAAAAAAATCTTAAGGAGGCTCATCAGAGTTTGTAAATTCTCCACCATACATGAGATTAATTGTTAAAAACTCCTGCAGGGTACCAGTCTAAACACACAAAAAAATGATTATGAAAAATTAACCAGATTAGATGTAGAAAATGTTTTAAATGGATTTAAAAATATTCAATTCAATATTCAAAATCAGCAACTTGTTGTTCTTTGATGTGATTTGCAGGTGATAACATCGGTTTGGCAGACTTCATCGGAGAAACCCTTCAGAACCGACCAACGATTTCTTCTTTTCTCAATGAATGCTGTAAGTAATTCTCATTATGTTTTCAGTTTGTGCTTTCTCTGTGCATCAAGTCAAATATTCATTAGGTGGGAATTCTTTCTTAATTTCTATAGAAATCTGTAGATCCAGATTCTGCAGTTTTAACATCTGCATGCAAAATGCCCGGGGCAAGCCTTCTCCTAACCTCCAAATCTCAGTACAGCTTGTGAAACAATTAAAGCCTAAAATTCCTCAGAAATAAAGGTAGCACTAACACTAAATGCCGAAATAAAGTCAAATGGTAGCTTTTGCTTCACTGTATTTGGCCTCAGTGTGACGGACAGCAAGCAGATCCTAATCGCCCCGTTTAGCAGCAAGCAGGGGGTGCCTACTCTCCGCCCAGGGGTAAAAAAAAAAAACTCCAGATGGCTGCAGACACATGAAACTAATGTTCTGGATCAAATGACTCATAATTTGTTTATGGTGCTTGTCCCCTCAAACACATCTATTGCCACTGTTGGCCACTTCTATGAACTGCATCAAAACTAATACGACAAAAAAAAAAAAAAAAAAACATTGAATTGAAATCTGTATTGATCAAATGCAAGGCAATATGAAAATGATCTTGTTCAATTTTAAAAAGATTGTCTTTCTTTTAACAGAAAAAAAAAACATCTAAATTTTACCTGATGTCTTTAATGTGTTCAAATACAAGCAAATCTCTCAAATTGCATTTAGTCTGTATGTGCTGCTAGTTTTGCAGGAGTACCCAGAAAGTTGTGACTGCATCCAAACAGACGTCAGGTGTGTGGAGGTCAACCTCGAGGAGGTTCCCCTGGTTTCACCAAATGTTACGTGGCTGTAAGTTCAACCCTCTTAATCCTGCTGAGAAGAACTTCTTAAATCCTCCACATTCTGACGAGAATGGTCCATTTCAGCAGCTGAATCTTTGTGAAAGTTTCGAGATGCGTTGATGTTAGAGAAACATTTTTGTTTTGTGTGGCTTTGCTCAAAATGTTGAAACTGACTCAGATTCAGAAATGCAAAATATATAAGGGACTCTTTCCCCCTCATAGACGGTGTCTGTACCCGTTTTTCATTTCATTAAACCAATTTTCTTATTAGCCAAAGATAACCTGAGTAAACTTAAACATTTTCAAATAAATCTGTTTTTATGAATATGAAAACGGTTTCCAGAACGGCTTGGTAACATATAAACCCCCTGTAAACTAAATACAGGGGGTTTTTGTGGGAAAAACCGCCGACAATCAGTTCTTTAAAATAGAGTCTTAACTGCTTTAGAGCTCTAAATATAATTTCGACCAAATGTTCTGTTTTGCTCACTGTCTCTGTATTTTCCACCGCACTGTAAAATGAGATAAGTTTGATTTATTAAATTATCCCTTCTTTTCCACCAAGTGGATGCTCAAAAATGAAGGTCATTTTTCTAAAGGACTTTACCATCTTCTTCTTAAGCGTAATTAATTTAAAGATAATTTTAAAAATAAATATTTAGAGGGTAGGCTGGTTTTGTTAGAGCAAGGGAAAATGATTATTTGTTTATGTGTTAGTAAATATGATTTGTAGTATAATTCTATTAATCAACCCAATGACAAACGGGATGCTGCTATGCCTTTCTTTTCTCTCAGACATTCTCATGTCTGAGAGAAAATGTCTGCCAAGTGCCATTTGTCCCTCAGACTGTCATTGGCTGAGTCGGTGTCCTGTGAGGTAAATGAACTTTGAACAAATGAGCAGCCATCAGAATGAGTCACCTCAATATGTACTGAGTGCACAGTTATTAGGCAATTTGTTTTTCTTTGGGGATTAATTTTATCACTGAAAACCACAAAATTTTAATAAACCTCCAACCTAATAATGTAAGAAAGTAAGGGAAAGGTTTTGGCTTATCTAGGAGAATATATCATTTAATATTTCCTTTAATGTTATGCAGTGAAGTATTTTGATGCATGTGCTGCATAAAAAACAAACAAACATGTTTTTTTTTTGTTCTCTCAACCACACCTTGAGGTGAGTGATTTCTAAAAACTGGTGGTGGATTTGAGAGTAGGCTCTGAGTCTGCCTTCAATCTGAAAAGGTTAAACCAGCTCATATTTAATGATTACCGCTCATACCAGCTGCCCATCGTGAATCCTTTCATCAAGGCTCTCATCTCATCCGTATATTTATGCCTTGAAAAATCTGTTCTAAAATATTTCTTGGCTTGGCCTTGACATTTTTACTTATGTGTCTTTTTCAGCAGTGATTGGATTTAAGCCCTCTTCACCCCGTCCACGTCTACGTGCACTCAGGAGTCTTTAAAAGATGTTTTTCAACTTTTGACTTTTCAGACTCGGTGAAAGTCATTTCAGTTTATTAATATACATTTGAATCAACAGTTGTGCAAAGAACTGCACATTTTAAATGGACAAATTTGACAGAAACAAATGAAAGAAAGACACGACAAAATTTAAAAGAGCTATATTTAGTATTTTCCATTTCATGGCACAATCAAGTAACTGTTAACCTTCAGTTGTCACGAAAATGATCTGTATTATTATTATAAAGTTTATTTGATAGGGACAGACACACATCGACATAGACAAACTGAATAAAACAGGAGTCCCATGTTTGCATCATGGTGCAATAGCAACAGCTAATTCGCAGCATCTGTCCCTAGTTGGGCTTTTTAAAAAAATAACTCTAAAAATTGAAGTGATAATCATTTAAAATAGCACAACATAATGTATCTATACCTATATGGCCTCTGTCCCTTTCCGACAGTCCGCCTTCAGTGCATCATCACAACAAAGCCTTTCAAAACCTGACTGAGAAGTAGTTTATATAATAAGCTCAGCAGATTCCACCAGGTGTTTGCTAATCGCTGCTGCCACTAGTCTAGAGGAGCTGAGTGGGGATTGGGTGAGGTAGGGGTGCTCTGTGAGGTGGAAGCTCCAACAACAAGCTTTGTGGAAATGGGCCGTGTTTTGTACGAGCAAGCATTTTTTTTGCTTAAACTGAAAAGTTTAAGTTTATTAAACGTGTTGGTTCAATAACTAATTAATTGAATAACTAATTTAATAACTAGCTAGCTATTAATTAATAATGACTGCCAGGGGAGATATAATATATGAAATATGGATGAAAGAATCAAAGCAACACCCCAGGTATCATATAAAGCTCAAAAGGTAAATTTTACATAACAGGCTCATACTTTTATCTTGAGTAGTAAATGATACACTTACAGCAGTAAGAATTTATTCTTATTATGAGTCAAAGAATAAAAGTGAGTTTTCAAATAGGTTTTGAAAATGTCTAATGCTGGAGAGGACCTGATGTGAAGAGGCAATTTGTTCCACAATTTAGGATCAGTCATAGAGGAGCTTAAAATTAATTTCAAATCCGTCTGGCAGCCGGTGTCAGGATGCTGTTATGGGGAATATGTGGTCTTGCTTGCATGTTCCAGTTAGTAACAGTGCTGCAGACCTGCTGAATGAAGATTATTACAGTCGCTGAGATGATTTGAAGGGGAGGACGGCTCTCTCAAAGTCTGAAACAAATGAATTTATGTCGGCTGCTTTAGTTGTGTTTAAAAAATAGATTTGATTAGAGCATTTATGAATTAAAAATCACTTCAAAGTCCACACATTTATTTTTTTATACATTTATAAAGCGGCAAAGTTATAAAGGTTATACGGACCAAACACAATAATGTATTTTTCCTGAGAAACAGACGTTGTCTACTTGTCATAAACAGATAGTTCCACTTGTGCTACAGCTTCCCTCATTTCACAACTACATATGAGCTGACGTAATTAATATGTTGATGATAAATTTATCTCATATTGCGTAACACAATATGTTTCTGGTCTGTAAAATGCGCTTTATAAAGTTTACTTTATTTATCACTGTGTCTATTTTTGTTAATTGAACAGATGAATATATCACCCTCCACCATCTGGAAAATGTCCCCAAGGAGGAGCCAGACCTGTGAAGCTCCCCGCTTAAAGAGATAATAATGAATATGGATAAACTTGTGATTTGAACAAGAGTTAAATAAATAAAAAATAAAAAAATCTTTGACACATTTTTACTCTTATTATTCTGGCATTTAGCAAAGAGAAATTATTTTGGTAATTCTAACTGACTTAAAACATGAAAAGTCTTGTCTGATTTAAATTCAGACAATGAGTAAATAAAAGGTGTTTGCCTCATTTCATTTGCATATGTATTAATAGTTTTCAAAAGAATATGAAAATGAATAAAAATAGAGATGCAATATTCCACCCCCCCACCCCCCAACAGATATGATGCGTAATATTGTCATTAGTAACTGTAATGAATTGTGGTAGCTTTTGCTTTGCGATTACATTAAATAATACTGTTACATTGTACTTGTTACTCCCCAACCCTTATTACAAATAAGCTAAGAATGTTTTACAGATTGTAGCTTTTATCTGAAATGCTTGAAAAAGTGATCCAGAAAGAATCTCTAAGAATCTACAAAACATTTAGTGGTTAACATTTCAAATTGTAGAGAATGTGTGAGGGAAGTATGGTGGCAAAATTCCTGGCAAATCACACGCCTGCTTAGAGAGTTTGCTTGTTCTGTTTGTGCAGTCACTTTGAATTGCCCTTTGGTGTGTTTCTGTGCAAGGCTGTCTGTTGTGTGATAAACTGGTGACCTCCACTTTTGTTTCCCCAGTGTCTTATATACTGGATGCTGGAGATAGCAAAGCCTCGGTATAAAACATGGATGGATGGGTCTTAGACTGGCCTACTATCCCACATCGTGCCAATCACTATAAAAGAGCTGTTATTTCCCATTCAGTGCATCACTCTCAGGCTGACCCTCCAGGTTACACTTAGAGTAATGTTAAGCACTGAAACTTCTTGCCATTTACTTTTTATTTCTTCACAAGGCCATTTAAAAGCAACAGAGCCAGAGTTAAACGAGCACTGAGCGCCAAAATGGCCCTCTGCAACTGAATTAACATTTTATTCCGTAATGAGATCTAAATATTATTTATTAGATTATTTGACAGATAAAGGGCACATTATTGAATTTTACTGTAAATGTGCCAGAAGGCAACTCTTTAAAAGATCATAATGTAAATAAACAGACCAATTACACTTGTTGCAGTAGCACGTCTGTTTTCAGCTTCACACTTCGTTGCTCTGCCAAAAGAATTACCTAAAATCTCTGTATGTAATTAAAGCCACAACAGAGTGCTGGAAACATGATCGCCAGTGTTTTATCCCGAAATTCACAATGAGCAGTTTTGAGTCAGATTCAGAGCATCGTTACCAAGGAATCCAGTCGATCACAGAACAGTACAGTGTGTTATTAAGATGACAGCAGACTGCTGGTAGGAGAGCTGTTTGAATTTAACTCAAAAGTTCATTAAAAACATTAAAATCATGTAAAATAATCCAACAAAAAAGTAATCATCTTGCAACCGGAAAGTTGATGGTTTGATTCCAGCCTTCTCCTGTGCCACATGTAGATGTAGCTCTAGTGCAGAAGAGCACTGAGGGTTCAGCACTACATAACCTCAATCCAGTTTTTTACATAAAACTTAAAAAGAGGAATTTTCAATAACTAACATTTATGGGAAGTCAGTTTCACCAACTCTAACCCATTTTACATCACAATTTGTGCAAGAAGATTTATAGATATATTTATTGTTGGAAAAACAGCAAGTCGTGAAGTCGTTTCAGACAAATGTGAAAGGGCATAAAGGTCTGCAAATAAGAAAAAATAAATGCTAATTCAGTTCTTTTAGACTGTTGCAATGCAGTTTTATGCTAGGTTGAGTTTTTTAAGCTTTACATCATGTTATAAAGTTATTCCCTCATCAAGGGCATACTAGGAGTGTTGCCTTGATACTTGGATGAATGTTTGCGAGATCCTTCAATCTCCAGTGGCAGCTAATCGGGGTGCCTAAACGCTTGCTCCCCCAAAGCGCCGCATATTTCCACAAATCACTATGTGCCCGGAAAATACTTAATACTGCCCCTTTAAAGGTGGGGTAGAATGCATTTTCCAGGCTCATAGTACTAGTTTTGCCTGACACCTTGAACTGTTGTGAACTTTTACAAACTTTTATTATCGAGTCTTTTAATATGACATTTAAAAAGTAAGAAAAATCGATTATTATCTTGGTCAGAACACTCTTCCAAAGAGAAAGAATGAATGTTAGGTGGATGTTAGTAACTAAGCCTCTCATTTTTTCATTTGCTCACCTTAGTTTGCTTCAGTTTGTAGCTAATGTCCTGTCCTGGACCAGACTCTGCATGATTTAGTAGCATTTTGTTTCCCAGCACATAACAATGGGTCATTTTTATTAATTGGAATGGTTTTACGTTTGTGTAACCAGAACGTGTTCCCTCTGCTGTTTGTGCTTCATTCATCACCTTCCAAGAAAGTATATTCCTTTTGTTTTATCAGCGTTTAAGTTACTAACTGTTTTTTCTTTTGTCCTGGTTCATCCAAGGCTAGAGAGAATGTCTGTGTAATCTTTATCTCTTTTCTTACTTTCTCTTTGGCTAAAGAGCACAATAAAAATCAACCATATTTGAAACGGGTTTGAAATTTTATATGCTGAAATATTTCAGCTTGACAAGCAAAAAAAAAGGTGTTTCTGTAGAATACCCTTATTTTCTAGCATTATTTGCATGATTTGAGAATTTATTTTTGAAACAAACAGATTAATTGACCTCAATTCATTGTCCATAACTTTATATATATTTGCAGGGCTTTTGTTGCTGCTGATGGTGGAAATTTTGATCAAGCAGACTTAAAGTCAAATTTGTTTCGATAAACACCAATTTTTCTGATGACTGGAGATGATCTGCCGCTGACATTTAGATTCTTTCAAGGAGTTTGGCTTTAGCCCTCCCTCTGTGTTTGAGACTGCAGAAGATTTTGCTCTGAAAGTATAATGTTCCTTAAATTATTTAATTTCTCAGACAGTAGACATCTTTAAATCTTTAAGTGCTTTAGAGCTCCGGTAGATGGTTCTTCTCCTTTCATAGTGAAAGAAAATGCTAAAAACAAAAACATTCTGAATAAAAACGCGGGGTTGTTTGTGTGGTTACTCAGGGCTCATAATGCTTCATTTGTTTCAGTCATTTTACTTTTTTCCCCCCCAACTCACTGTCCTGTAGGTGGCTCATCCTGCTTAATGTGTTTAGTTTTATTCTGACATTATTTGGCTTTTATTACAGGTCACTGAGGAGCAACAAGATCCAAATTCTGGACGACTTTGTTTTCTCTGAATACTCTGCACTGGAGAGATTGTGAGTAATTTTATGCCTGCTGCTTCCGTTCCTCACAAACACGTTCCACTTATTGGTTTAATGGATCAGAGTTCAAATTTTGGGCTTTTTTTTAAAATGGAAACTTAAATGTAAATGAAGGTACGCCATAAAGACAGTAATGGAAAATGTGTCTGGATTAAGTAAAGCTATAATGGTAAAACTACAGTGTAAGATGTGACACAATGAACAAAGATTCATTTGGTCTTAAAAAAACAAACATTTTAGCTGTCAAAAATTAAATCAACCTGTTTTATAATGCACCTCCATGTTGCAGCTATACGAGTGCTGCAGTTTTAAAATTCAAATAATATTAAATGTGTTGAAGGTATTTTTCTGAACACCTCAAATAAAATGTAAAAGTAGAATTTATTGTATGATGAAAATACAGATTTTTTTTCTTGTTTTTGAGCATTTGTGTGTAATTTTATAGACATTTCTTTGCACAACTATATTTGTCTGCAAACTGGCCACACAGATGTTGATGGCTGATTTTAATCACTGCGTATTATACGTTATGCTTAAAAAGTCATATTTCCACAGCTTGGCAAGGTTTTCTGAGGCAATTCTTTTCAACTTTGCATTAATACTGGGCCAAATGAGTTTAGCAGAGAAGAACTGTGACACATAAAAAGCTTTAATACAGAGGGCAGGACATTTCAAATTACTCTGAAAATATGGGGTGAGTTTTTATGGAGGAGGATGTTGAGCCTTTCTGATGAGTAGAAAACAAGTCAGTCATTTGTTTCAGTCATTTTATGTGTTGGCTTCACATTGTACATCGGAAATGGATGTTGTTTTTGTTTGCAAAATCACTCATGTAGTATATTAGATTGTTTTATGTTTGTAACATTCTTATACATCAGTAAAATCACTCCAAACTCAACAGTGGTATTCTGTTGGGACTATAACTTTGAGCCGCTTGTTTCCACCTTCCATAAATTGTTCCAGACATATTTCCATCTGAAAGGGTAAATTCAGATGGAAATCTAGTTCATACTTTTCAAGCCTTACATTACCTATTTTCTGGATTCATGTTTTTAAAACGTGAAAATTAAAATGCAATAGAGATCCCATTTTGAAATACCATTAGATAATCAGAAATATATTCTGCTGCAGACCCTGAAGAAATGGGAACAACTCGAGGAAAGAGATTCTCCCCCACATAAACACACACACAAAAATTAAATACCATTTTCAGTAACACTTTATTTGAAGGGGTTTGCATAAGACTGACATGACCCTGTCATAAACATGACATAACACCTGTCATGAACATGAAGAAGTCTTTATGAATGTTTATGACAGTTGTCATGGAGTGTCATTTGGTAAATAATGACACTTTTAATGCAAAGTTGCTCTAAAAGTTGCATTAAAAGTCCATTAAGAATGACAACTTTGCATGATTTTATAAATTATGATAATTCAATGCAAAGTTGGCATTTTTAATGGACTTTTAATGCAACTTTTAGTGTTAACTGTTATGTCATGTTTATGACAGTGTCATGCACACCCCTTCAAATAAAGTGTTACTGCATTTTCTTCCTATAACCTAATTATTGCAATGGAAATAATTGTAACCTTTTGTATTACAGAAAATGACTTGTACCATTCATTTGAAAAAAGGTTTTCTATAAAGAACACATGGAGACCTGTCATCTGCTAAATGGAAAACAACAATATAATTAAGGTAGTTGTGTATGAACCTTTTGGAAGGGATTCATTTGTCAGTCTTTGAGATTGTAGGTGTGTTTATATTTTTATTCCTATATTTTATGTTGTGCAACATTTTGACTCGGGTATTCTGCCTCTGCATGTCCATTTGAAATGCTCCTCTAGAGCACACTGTGCTGGATGGTAGTTCGTGTTTGGCTCGTAGTGATTTTGTTTTCGAAACAAGGCAGTATCTGTCTGTGTTTCTCTGTGTGTATCTGTTTGGAGAAGGAAGTTGTTTGTTTCTTTGTGCGGTTTAAGTTCAAATAAGAGTGAACGTCAAGACTCAGCCAGTGAAATTAGTTTGAAACTTATAACCTGTGCTTTCCTTGGAGGAAACAAGGTTGTGTTTGTTGGAGTACTGAACCAGCTCGCCACCCCAATCTGCTACCAAACAATAGTTTTCTGTTCATGTGCAAATATGCAACAGGAGTCGGTACTTTTGTTTGCAAACAATATCGAAATCCAGCCACCCATGCAAAACATCTGTGTGTTTTTCAGAGCTTGCATAAGTTTATTGGTAGAATAAGCCAAACCTGTTGGAAAAACCTTGTTCTTGTGCAACACCTCCTCCTCCCCCTTTTCTCTCTACTTCCTCTCCTGAGAGGAGTGAGATGTGCTACCAGCTCTCCGCCTTACGGGTGAATTGAGTTTCCTAAATCTGCTGGGAGTTACCCTGTCCAGAACTGAAGTGAACTCTCTGCCCCTTAAGCTGGGGCAGAGAAAGATTTGCCTGGTTTCTGACATCCTCCATCCAAATGTCCCACCCTTCTTCCCCCCCATGATTAGTCAGACTGAGCAGCCTGTAGTCAACTCCACAGAGCACACCTGTTAACGGTCACTCCTCTTTTTATTACAATGTGCACTTGTTACTGAACCAGGTTGGTTTTAGTGACTCGGGCGAGTCCCAAGGATGTTGTTTTACATATAGTTTTTGGCTAAAAGCAACCTATCAAACATTTTCCACTTTTTCCTCCCCAAAATCAAACTTCATAGCTATTTTACGACCATCAAAGAACTTTAAGGTGACTCATTAATTGAATGTCCACAACATCTTTTAGATTTTCTTAATGCTAATTATCTTATTAGTAAGGCATTTTTGCAAGGGTCAGTACAGCTTAAATCAATAGCAGAAATAATCAAATAAATAAAATCAATCGTCTAGGCTATCTCTCCCTAATGCTGACACTGAGAACTAAAAAAGGGAACCTTTGACAGAGACGGACCGAGTTTGGCATCTTGAACCCCAGAACTGACCTGATGATGAAGGAGGTGTTGCAGCAGCAGGAGGCTCCCAGCGCTGATCGATGAGAGCAGACATCCCTGCAGGTCTGATGAGCTTCCATCTCTGCTTCGATAGTGAGGTCACACGGGACTTGGGTGCTGGTAAGAAGGGTACTGACTTAGACTCTTAGTATGACTTCCTCTTGTGCGTAGCGGTCCTCAGCTTCTTGTCTTGCAGCTCTGTAGCTCCTTTCTCCTCGTCTCACGATCTTTCTGGTCCATCGAGATGTAGACGAGCTGGTCTCATGGAAGGAACACACCAGTTCTTCCTCTTTGCCTTTGTCTTTATCTTCATCTTTGCCTTGGTCTTTTTCTTTGGGGTCTGAACCCAGCTGATGAGAGAAGTGCAATTTGAAGCCACATGTTGCGGGGCTAACGGGTTGGTCCCCATGTGCAGAACAGTCTTCGGTTCTGTGGCCCCGGCTCTTCTTCAGCTGCAGAGTTCTTTGTCCATCTTGATCTTGGCTCGAAGCTGCCTGGAGGATCCAACCAAAGGTTCCTCTTTTGCACCCATCTTTTATAGTGTTTATTCACCCTTTTGGAGAGTTTACATTGGTTAGCACTGTTGTTGTGCCTGTCTCATTGGCTGACTGCTTGGCTACTTATCCAATTACTCAAAATGTCTAGATTTTATTCTTTAAACCTTTAATGCTTTGAAATAAGGAGTAGTCTGAACTATTTTAATACATATGCAGGCTGAAACTTCTTTCTTCAGGAAACCTGCCCTTCCTGTTTCATGAAACTCTATCTGACTATGATTTTATATGATTAGATAGAAAAAAGAAAAATTAAAGCAAAGTTTTCAGGACACAATCACAACCAGATCAATTTTTATTACAGTCTCACTCTATGTTGGGTCTTGATGTCACTCGTGTGATTAATTTCAAAAGTAACTTTATTTATTGTTACTATTAAACTAAAATCTCCAGCATGGGGAAGTGGGATGATCTTGACTTTTCTCGACAACCTCTTTAATGAAAGCACAGATTTCACATTCTGCACTGCGAAGTGGAGAGAGAGCGAGCAATGCTGTGATGAAAGCCTTTTTTAAATGATTTGCTAAAATATTTTTCAGTGCCGATGTTCCGAGAAACGATTACAACTACACAGGATTGTCGATTGTTCCCCTGTTGTAAGTTTGGAGGCGCACATGCTGCTGCGTGTGTGTAGCGACTGCTCCTTTGAGACACATCCTGCACACTTTAATTATGAGAGATTAGTGGATTTTTACAAACCTCTTCTGAGTTAAGACAGGCCCTCAATTTCAGTCTGCTTGAAATTTAAGTCATGTCACTCTTGTATACTGCTTCACTGTTTTGTTTGCAGTCCAGTCTGTTGTCTAGGCGAACCCTGAGCTGAAGTCACCTTCTTTATTTTAAGCACATTCAAGACGATTTGATTGTTTCCACACAAAGCTGTCCACCAACTCTCTAAACTCTGCCTTTTGTCTACCTCTGATTCACCCAACAAGTGGAAAGTTGTCTGAGTATTTCTGCAGACTCTGACTTGAACTGGAAGATTAAGGTGTACAAAATGATAAGGACTGGTAAAAGTGCTGCTCCCTGTCTTTTCTAATCCAATCAGAGCTCTGGTTTCTTTCTCTCAAACTCAGCCTCCACGACTTTTAAACCAAAACCCCCAATGAAACGATCCAAGAATAATGCTTCTTTTGACCGAGTTTAGTTTTCAATCACATCCTGGACGCCATTGTTGTAGTGGCCAGAAAATTGTGCCCTCAAAGCTCAGTAAAGCTCCAGCAGTAAGAGAAGTAGCTCAGTATAAGGCGATGTAATCATCCGGAATGGACAGATTTTCTGACTTGACAAAAGGTACAGGTAAAAAAACAACAACCTCCTGAGTCATTCTAGAGAAAAACGTTCAGGAACTCGGAGCAGAAATGCCCCTATTCTTCTTCTGAGGATGGATGATTTGATAATAGTTATGAAATGTACTGGATATAAAAGAATATTAAGCTTTATTTTTACCTGCAGGAATCTGTCATGTCGGATGATACTCGATTAGCCCACATGCAAGTACACAGCCAGGAGAACAAGAAAAGTTCAATGGGTTTATTGTAGCGGGGATGAAAATCAACTGGTGCGAGCGGCGGGCAGCAGCACCAACAGCACAGGGTGTGGGTGGTATAGAGAAGACTTGGAGGGGTCTGCGATTCTGGGTTTCACTTTCCTTGGTTTTCGGGGGGGGGGAAACGGACAGGTCGGCCAGGGCCTCAGAGTGTCTGAGCGAACGTCCTGATCCGGATGCTCGGGTGGTCTGCAAAGATCAAAAAGGGCGGGTTACTCGGAGAGCCGAAACAGGAAAAAACACAGCGATCAACGAGGGCAAGAAGGCCGAGAGTGAGTACCAAAACTTAGTCAACAATCTGGCGTCGAAGTGTTGGCCACCGCCTCTCTTAAGCTGCAGGCAAGAGGGTAATTGCTGACCGGTGTGTAGCTGACGCAACAGGTCCGTCCCCCGAGCAGCCGTCTCCAGGACTCCACCTAGAGGAGAAAACCAACCCCAACCTCCACCCAGAACCTAACAGAATCAACTTCATACAAATATATTGCTACAGTTGCATATTACCACAAAGTTTGGGTGTTTTTATTTATATTTAGACTGTAACTGACAGAAAATAACCTGGAATGACTTCATACTTTGTCTGGTTTCTTTTCTAGTCTGGAGCAGCATTTGCTGCTGCACGATGAGCCATTCCCCCAGCAAACTGACGCCTCAAACTGACGGGGTTTAAGGTTGATTTGCAAAATAACAAACATGCCCCCTTTCCAACTTCCACCTGAAATATTTTCAGAGTGTAATGCTGCTTCCTTTTGCTATATCAATCGTTTTTATAATTAAATGAGACTTTTAAGTTGTTGTGCGCCAACCACAAAAAAGATAAAGAAAGAAAGTAGGTCATTTCCCCAACTGAAGTTTTATCTTTTGCAGAAGTGCTTCATATGGAGAAGGCCTGGCTGCACTGAGGCTGCTGTGTAACTCTGTGTTCTGAAGTGAAATGCAGTTAAACTGTTTCTTGGACAGATTTTAGTACTATTTCTTTATCTTTCCCTTTGTTGCAAATGGATTATCTATTTTTAACTATACAGCCTCTGGTGGACTAGATTGCATCACATAGCATTCTGCAGCACATGAAAACTCATGATAGGTTGATGCCATTACATCAGAGTGTGATACAGGGATGCATAATGAATCACTGTTGATCAGGATTTATATACTTTAATAGTTAATCTACGGCAAGTAGATGCAGTAGTCCACCACTATTACTGTTTCTGTACACGTTCTACTCTGTATTTTATAAGATTAATTTAGTTTTTTGGTAGGACTGCTGGTTGCAGTGATTACATGGATGCAAACATTCTCAGCTGTGAGCAACTTTGTGGCTCTAAAGTAGCCAGACAAAACAAAACACACAAAATTTCAGTGCACTCTTTTGGTGGACATAAAAACCACCCCATACTGGTTATGGTTTGAATTTATAGAAAACAAAGTGTTTCTAAAGTGTATTGAAGGAGCAATATTTCATTTTTTTTAATGCATCAGATATTTGATGTTTTACACAGTTAGTTTTGTAAACAGTAAACATTGTTTAGCTGTAGTTTCAGAAAATTTATGTTCTCTGTTCTCAGATTTCTACAAAACAACAGCCTCCAGTTCATATCAAAACACGCCTTCAGTGGACTGTACAGTCTTAAGAAGCTGTAAGTATCTTGGTCACTTTATCAAATGCTATTAATCTACCCAGAAAAGCTATATGAATTTTTTTTGCATTGTGCTTAATATGCTTATCTTATAATTTCCAAATTAGTGGGAAGTCTGAGTAAACTTTGCCTCTGTTCTTCAGTAAAGCAGCAGATGGTTATTTATTGTATTAACAGTCACATTTTGGGTCAGGCTTAGGTTATAAATCTAAACTTTTAACTGTTTTCACAAGCAGTTGTGAATCATTGTGTTATTTTCAGGAGCTCAGTGAATTCCACCTTGCTACTAAGTTAGGATATCACCTGAGCAGTAAAACTATTCATGAAATCTTTCCACTAAACATTTCAGTCAACTGTGATATGGTAAAGCAAAAGCAGCAGCGATTCAGGCACAGACTGGTAGGTCAGAAAAATCTGAGGTGGCTCATGCTAGGGTGCAGTGTGTGCATAATTCACTAACTTTCTGCAGAGTCGGCTGCTTCGTGTGGCCTTTTAAATGAGCTCCAGACCAGTGTGTGAAGAGGTTCATGGTACAGGAGAATCATCTAAATTTAAGTCTGGCGGTCTTAAAAATACATGTTGCAAATGTATATGCATGAGGAAATCAAGGGGATCTTATGGAATATCAAGTCTTCATACATTTTAGAAGCATGTGGGTTACTTGTTATGAATAGTCTATGAATGCTGAGATCAGAATTGGGTCAAGCCATCATATTCACTTTCAGTTTTGAGCACTAATGCCTAATTGAGTGAATCTTAATTAGTACTGACGGAGTGTCTTCATTGTGTCATGTAAGAAATTAAGCAATATTATTTTACGGTTATCGCTGCAATATTAATGGAAACGTTGTGAAAATTCTGCGTGCTGTTGATCTGCTGAACATTGGACACTTTCAGTGCATCTGTCAACGTGGCTTACTTAATGATCAAATTATTTAAAATACACTTTCAAACGTGGAGGAAGGTGAAACGGGAACATCAACTGCCTAAGGCAGTGAATCTTCCGCTGCAATTTAATCACAATCCAGATGCACAGTCCAATGGAGGTGTTACATTACCAAGTGCAATGCAATGATTTGGATAAACGAGTGTAAAGGACACTGCCACAAGACTTTGGAGCAGGGGAGACATTCTCTGGTTTAATGAATCACACTTGTGCCTGTCATTCTGTGGACAAGACTGGGTTGGCAGCACCCAGTCTTCTGGTTTGGCAAATAAATTGACTTGCTTGACTGAACTGTAAGGGTAAAGTTTGTTGGAGGACAGTGTGTGGTGCACAGTTTTTATTTGGGGGTTGGACTTTCCCCTTAGTTCTAGTAAACTACTGCTAATTCTGTAGCATACAGATTCATTTTGGGTAATTTCCTGGTTATCATTTGGACATAGTCCCTTCCTTTTCAATTGCGTGCGCTAAGCAAAGTCCCATAAGGACATCGGCAAGAAAGGATGGTGCATAGGAACTTCTGTGGCTTGTACAGAACTCTGAACTTAAACAACATAAAACCTTCAGGAGCCTGACCTCATAAATGATCTCCTGGGAAAATAGCCAAATACTCCCTTGAACATACTTCTAAGTTACTGCCTTCTCAGCTTTATTTCAGCTACTGGAGAAGAAAATTTGTGGGCCAACTCTTTAATACAACCAAAGTATTCAGAGTATGATGTCATTAAAATTCATGTGAACTTAAACGCAAGCATCCCGATACTTTTGGCAACATAGTGTAGATTTAGAGATAAATATGGCGATTTCACAGATTTTATTAGTAAGTAGAAACTTGAGCTCTCATGAGGAAGCAAGGAGATTACAACTTTAGTTATCTTACCCAAATATGGACCTGCAAGCCTGTTTGGACTGTGACCCTTTTTCAGAATCATGATTATGGCTACTCTGTAGTAAAACAGGAGAATAGCCAGAGTTCAGATCAACCTAAGCAGGAACATCAGTTCTCAGAAACCAAAGACCATCTAAAACATTTAGCCGTAGTCAACAAGTCATTACATTAATGCTGTTTTGAGATTTAGGCTTGCTGACAATTCCTCACAATATTTAATCATTTAGTCTTTGTCTGACCAAACCTCTAAGTCTGTGTTTCCTACTCCTCTCAGGTTTCTCAGCAACAACTTAATATCCTCCCTCAGTCCTGGCGTGTTCAAGGATCTGAGTCAGTTAGAATGGCTGTGAGTATCACATATCTGTTTTACATAATAAACACACTCAAGTTTGCATCCACTCATTGATATGATTTGATATGAAGCATTCTTTTTAAGGGGACAAACTGAAACCACAACAAAAATCAACAGTCCATTCAATACATTCATTGAACAGAGATATCAACTTAAAAAATACATACAAAGTTGCAAAAGTAGTAGGTTTTTTATTTTTGTGAATATGTTTTAATGGGATTTATGTTGCAGTTGAAAACAAAATGGTGCGTGATAGTGATATATAATGTTCACAACTACTAACATTTAGCTCAATTTTCCTTTGAGGTTTGACAAACTTCATTCTTTTATCATCATCACAAGCATGCCCGTTCTCTTGATCGCAAATAATTAAACTAAACTGAGGGGTTTGCTAGCATGGAAACTACTTTTTGCACATGCATTAGGGTTGAAGTTTTGGAGACTCTGCACCAGAAGGTTAATATTAGAGGATATTTAAACCAAAACATGTTTTAACATGTGCCTTGGATGAGTCTCTTAGGAACACCCATTTGTGTCCAGACTCAACCCCTCTGACCTAAGCTGCTACTCTAAAATGCAGAGATAGTGGCTTTAGTGATTAACAGCAACCAAGGGATTACCAAGGCTCAACCCTGTCATAAATTGAAGGATCCTGGGACGTGCAGTCGCTGTACCGGCATGGACTGAAACTGAAAAATAAAAACCTTCTCCAAAAAAATTTATGGTTTCTTTGCAACTATCTCAGGAAGATTTGAGCAAATATCAGCAAGAATGAAGTTATATATTTGCGTACTCATTCCACAAACAGTTCAAATAAATAATTTAAGCCCAAAATAAATTACATCCGTGCAGATAATGAGCCAGTGTAAACCTCTGACTGGAACTGTGTATGCTGGAAACATAAACTGTATGATGGCATTTGTGGGGGTCCGTTTTAGAGTGGATCCCCACATCATTCTCATTTACTCTCAAGAGTAAATGAGAATGATGAAGTACATTGTGTTTTGTTCTAGTGTTCACATGAATGTGTGTGGTATTTCTACACACATTGTACAGCTGCGCTGTTCAGTTTGAAATGACTCAGTTAGCTCCAAGTAAAGGAAGCGCTGCTCCAAATCGAAAGGAGAAAAATCGGTTGGCTAGCAGAAGTGAACAACTGTCCTTAACTAAAGATTTACAGAGAACAAAACTTGGTGTTGTTTTCTAATGATATGAAATATATATCAAAGTTTTCAAATTAGCTCCAGAACAATTTATAGACAGCTTTTACTAATGGCAGTATAGTCCATATGTCCTTTTAGACTGATGCATTATTTTTTTAATTTGTACAAAGTTAAATATATGTGTTTTTGCAAAATGCTGAAACACACAAGACCACATTCAAATAACTGGGCACCAATGATGTAATAATTTTTCCTGCCAGGATGTTGGATCATAACCCACTTAGCAGTTTGACTCATGAGACGTTCTTCGGACTTCGTTCGCTCGTATTTCTGTGAGTCTGTTTTTATTTTTCATCTAACATTGTGATATGGATCTTCACCAGTCTGATGAAAAATGCGTTTCCTATGGGATGTGAACTAGATAGTAGGATTGGCATGATGCTTTGGGCAAGGCTACGCTGGGAAAGTGTCACACACCATTTACACAAGCATTGTTGGTGACAAAGTAAACTCTTAGGGACAGAGTTTCTGCTGATGGCATCTGATCTTATAAAAGTATGCCTCTTTACCACATAGCAAAACGATGTTTAAAGGAATGATGTAGCATGGTTACAGGTACATCTTCATGAATTCAAAAATTAATTTGGGAGAGATGTGTTTGTCATACCAGAAGGTCTGCTTAAAAGTTATTTTGAAAATAACTTTTAAGCAGGAATTAAACATGCTTTTCATTTTTTTATTGAAAACACAACCTTCTAATCTTCTAAGAAATTAAATGTGGTGTTTTCATTAGATATTAGCAGGAAATCATCGTAATTAAAATAAAGACTTAAAAACATTAGCCTGTGTGTAAATTATCAAAATAATGTGTTTCACCTGCACATGTATTACAGTCAGTGCTTCTATACTAACAACCACCGACCCATGAATTTAAAATCATAGAATGAACCTTGATGGAAAATGTTAAATGATGCAGTATTTGCACAGGAACAATTGGAAATTGTTTAATTCTCTAACACAGGTTCCATATTGTAATATCAAAAGCATCTAAAATGATCTGTTTCAGCCATCCACTAATGGCAGTATAGTCCATATGTCTATACTGCCATGTAAAAACATCAGTTTCTTCACTTACATCAGTATGTCTCAATGCTCGTCCTCAGGGACCACAGCCCTCAGGATTCAGGTCAGGTGTTTCCCCACACCTGGCCTGAATAAGTGGGTGATTAACACACATCTGGAGCCCTTGATGGTTTGCAGAGGAGGTCATGCAATCATTTAAATCAGGTGTTCTGGAACAGAAACGCATCTGAAATTTTCAGGGCAATGGTCCCTGAGGACTGGAATTAAGCAACACTGATTTAGCTATTCTCTTGTCCCTAACAGCTGAAGTCCTTCTTTATTTTTTCTGTTCAGATTTAGATCAACAGCTATGATTGTTAAACCCTGCCTCGATTTCACAGAGCATTCTTGATCCAGTCCTCCGCACAGCAGCAGAACTTCCTGAGGTGCAGCAAAAGATGTTTTTCCAGCAGCTTGCCAAAAAACAGTTGACAGATCCTGGGTGGAAAAAGCTTTTTGCTGCCTAATTGTCTTAAAAAGACCATCAGTGTTGATCAAAATGACATTTCCACCTGCTGCCACGTTGGTGTTTGAAGGTATCTGAATGCGGCTATAAAGGGTAACAGATGGTGTTTGAAGGTATCTGAATGTGGCTATAAAGGGTAACAGACGGTGGCCGTGTATGCTGCAGGTTACAAAATACGACACTTTTGATGTACTTTCGACTAAGGATCGAAACTAAGGACCAGCAACACTTGATTGCTGACTGATGCGCCGAAGCAAAAATGCTCAGTGAAGGTTTTGGACCATATAAAATAATTTCTCCCTCCGAAGGTGGCAACCCAATAATCTGTTCTGTCTTGCTTCATTTCAGCTTGATGTCCAAGGTCTATAAAAAGTGCTAATTAACTGATTATGAACTTGATTTACATTCTTCTACATGAGCTGTCATCAGGATAACTGGAATACTCTGTGGTGGTGAAGGAAACTTCCACAGACTACAGTTTAATATATGGCCAATTGGAAATTATGCATCCATCCATTTTCTTTACACCCTTGTCCCTCAGTGGGGTCAGGAGGGGTGCTGGTGCCTATCTCCAGCTATTGTTCCAGGCAGGTTGCCAGTCTGTCGCAGGGCAACACACACATACACACAGGGACAATTTAGAGAAACCAATTAACCTGACAGTCATGTTTTTGGACTGTGGGAGGAAACCGGAGTACCTGGAGAAAACCCACACATGCACAGCGAGAACATGCAAACTTCATGCTGAAAGACTGGGGCCGGGAATTGAACCCAGAACCTTCTTGCTGCAAGGCAACAGCTCTACCAACTGCACCACTGTCCATTTGTCCATTATGCATTTACTTAATTTAATGGTCAGATTATTGTTATCACTAAGCACCATCTGCTTGGGGAAAGCATGCCATTTCTCATTGGCAACATTTTTTCCCACACAAAACTACCCTAGCATGCAGGAGCGTTGGAGAAAAGAATCAATTTTGAATTTGTTTTATCCATACTTTTTTGTCCAATTAAAGTCTTAAGTGAAAGTCTTGAAAGCGCTCACTGTTGCCGGTCATCTATTTCAATAAAACATTTTAGGTGCTGAATCAACCCAAAGCATACCAAATGCTTTGGGTATGCTTTGGGTACTCGAAATTATACATCATTTTTTGAGATTTAGTGGGAAAAGCTCTAATCCTTGTTGAGATGAATGATCCGCAATGGATGTGCTTGTAAGAAGAGTGCATTCATCAAAGGTGGAGAGATGGAGAAGGGTGTATTGTACAAAATCCCATTTTTTTGAGACTTATATGATGTTATTCCCTCATTAAAAACACACCAGGAGTGTTGCTTTGACTCTTTTATGCATGTTTGATGAATACTTGAATCTCCTGCGGGAGCCATTAGGGGGTGCCTTAGCCTTAGCGCTGCAGTCCCCATCTGAGCTCCTTCCCACAGCACCTCTCCCACAAGCAACATCAATAAGCTCCTACAAACTGAACACTCCTCTGCGATCAGTTGTAAAACGTGTCAATGGAGAGGAATTGTTGTGACGATGTGCTGAAGTGGAGTGTCGAAGGTTCTTAAAGAGACAGAGGACAATTTCAAGGCATTAGATATGGCTATGATGCAAAGTCACATTTCTTTTAAGTTGTTTAAGATTTATACAGCCTTTTCATAACAACTGACGATAACAGTTACTTGATTGCACTATAAAATGGTACTATGTGCTTGGAAAATTCACAACACTTCTCCTTTAATATTACTTTCACTCCCTTAGTAACCAAAAAATGAACAAGACATCTGTTTCAAGGACGGAGGGAAGATTTCTGGAGTAAGTGACATCAAACTAGACGCTTAGTGGAGATATGATGTTGATCTGTTAGTGTGGATAAGATTGAAGGACACCAACACTAAGTACTTTGACCTACTGTGACTGGGAGTTAACCAAAACCACACATCCATGGATACTTGCTTTGTTTTTCCTTCACATCTCATTCAGCTTTATGAAAGTCATCTGGGAAATTTCTGTTTAAGTTTAACAGGCAGACAAAAATACAGCAAGCAAACTGCCAGCATACCTTGATTATTAGTGTGAAATTTAAAATGAGAAGTGACTGATGGAGACCTTTAAATCTGAAAGCACCAAACTGATAATATGTCAGTCTGTTAGCATCTATTTGTCTTGACATTATCATTTTGTTCCTTACTGATTGATATTGGATTATTTCCAACTGGTGCACATAATGCAATTGTGAGTTTATAGCTGCTTTCAAAAGAAGTAAACCCACAGGCGCAAACTGTTCTAATGACTCAATGAAGTTATTATTTTGAAGGGATAATAATGTTTTTCCATCTCCTTTGGAGATCAGGCTTTTGTGGTTGCTGGCTGAAAAGTCTTTGTAGCCTTTGAGCTTTTTATCCAATCACAAACTTTTATGTAGTTTAATGTGATTTTATGTGATAACCTACACCAGTGGATAATTGTGAAGTGAAAGAAAAATGCATGTTTTTTTTTCTTACAAATAAAAATATAAAACAAATAGTTTTTAAAGCATCAATTCAGAAATTAATCACAATAAAATCCAGTGCAACCATCTGCCGGTACGTAGTTAGTGAATAGATGAAATGTGTGAAGGCCTCCGAAGTTTGTTAAAGAACAAATTATATCATGAAGTCCAAGACCCACAGCAGACAAGTTTGGTATAAAGCTGGGGAAAAGTTTACAACAAGGTTTAGTTATAGAACATCATCCAAACTGTGATTCTATAGTGGAGCTCTGTTCAAGTAATTGTAACATTTGCACAACTGCAAGCCAATTGGGACAACTAATCTGGCTCCCCGGGCAAGGAGACCATTAATCAAAAAACACCCAAGAGGGCTGAAGTACTCTGACGGAGACGCTGGGGATAGTCATGTCCATGGATTTAGTCATAACACTCCAGTTTGCAGTTTGTCACAAACCTTCAGGGACATAAACATGCAGAACAAGTTGCTCTGGTCAGATGACGCCAGCATTAAAATATTGTGTCCTTCCTGCACAGCACTGTGTCAGAGGTAATGGGAAAATGGATAGAGCTTAATACAGGGCAGTCCTGGAAAAAAAAATCTACAAAATACTTGAGACTGGGAGAGAGGACAACACATTATTAGTATGTTTAGACCACAGGGTTTTTACGTGTTGGAATTTCTCAGTCATAACCCGGTGAGAAGGAATTTTCTGTCAGTAGGAGCTGAAAAGTGAGTAAATGCATAGCCATAAAAGTTGATTTGCAACAGTTGAAAATACAGGCAACACTTTTCAGATTTGTATTATTGTTAAAAAAAAATATGTAGAATTTTCATTTCACTTCACACCTATGTGTAAAATTTATGTTAAAAATGACTGGCGTTTGGTTTTCATGCGTTTTACATTTAATTGCAACTATTTTGGCTGAATTTAAATGTCTTATCTGGCTGCAAAACACTTTTGTCAGCATGAGTTGCCTTTAACTGTGCTATACAAACCAAACTGACTTTGGCTGACTTTGGAAAATTACTTGAAGCTGTTGTCTACTTCAAACTTGTTCACAGGCTGTCTGGGTGAGACTTGTTTTTGTTATTGTTGTCTTTCCTCCGGCCTGTTTAGAGCTCAGGCACATCTCAGCATGCCCTTCTAAAACTCAGGCTCGACACTTGACTCCAATAAGTGTTTTCTCTTTCTCTTTGCCTCTTCAAAGTGGTAGACTAGCAGCATATGGGCTGCTAGTCTACCTCGACACTGCGCAGTTCGAAACTGAAACATTTTTACAATATTTACTAAAGTTGTTTGAGTGATGAGAATATCTAGGAACTTTTAATTTGTAATGTAACTTTTTGTTTTGCTGGTGTAAAAAATTATTTTATTTCTTGGCCAATCGTCAAAATTGAAGACAAATAAACACGCCATCCTGTGATACCAAATGTTTGTTGATCTCGGAAAGTTAGAAAATAGCTACTTGTCCAAGCTTGTCATATCTACAAACAGGAAAAAATAAATCTAAATGTTAAACTAGCTGTGAGAACCAAGGCTGGTGAAGGACCTCGTTTTATCCTGCCACCTTGCAGAGTGAAGAGGATGGGAAGGATGTAAAATAAATCTTCTGCCTAAGCTAACATTTGCATTAATGCAGCCGACTTTTCTCCATAACAATCGAAAGTCTTTTTTTTTTTTTTGACCAATAATTGTGGAGGGCATTTTAGATTTGCTTGAGGAAGAAAAAGCCATGTAGGTTACTACGCACATTTTTCTTTATTTTACATGATAAATTGAAAATTTCAGCATTTTGACTTGTTTTTTTTCCTTCCCCCCTTAACATCAATCATACATTTTTTCTTGTTAGATTGATTTGTCATAGTTGAGATTAACCAATCTAAGAAAAGCACTGTTCAAAACTTTAACAATTTTAGCCTCCAGCTGAAGGAATGGAAGAAACTAATTCTGACATACAATATTTTACTTCTTTTTTAGCCTTGTAATTAATTAATTGCAGCACCATATGCATTTGAAAATAGATTAAAAACTCAATTATATTTGAATCTCTTATTTCAAATAAACTCAATTTTATCTGAATCCGTCATTTGTCCCCTGCACGTTTGATTCAGGTTATACATAATAGATAGATTTGGGAATCAGGGCGTTTGGATAGCTGTTACTGGGTGAAAACTTCACCTCTTGCTCAACTTCAGGGTAAATACAGCCTTCATAAATGCACAAATTTCAGTTATTGATCAGGTCACATGTCAAAAAAACACATGCACATTTCAGAAAATATAAAATCAAGTGACTTTGACAAACTTTTTAATGTAGGGAAGGATGGCTTATATCCCTGGTTTGTAATTTGTTATTCCATGCAGGGCTTAAGGGCAGAGTGGAAGCAGGAATAGAAAATGAAGATAAGCAATGAGCTCTGGAATATCGCTTTAAATAATGTACACAAGTGCTTTGCTTACATCATCTTATTCAATTTAAAATGATTCAGACTTCATTATTCTGAAGCAAAGTTGCATATTTTCCCCAATACATCCCCACTATATGACTAATGCTATATTCATTCCTACTCTTTTCATCTGACCCCACTGACCCCATTTTGAGCTTGCATATTTTAGACTTCATCAGACATCTGCCACACAGAGCTGAAACTGGACCCACTTTTGTTTCTGATTAGTTCTCTGAGATTAATAAATGCCAATAATAACTGTTATCTTATGCTTTAAACAAAGCTTGTTTTGATATTATAGAAAAAACAGAAGTTTCATCTTTTAAATTATGTCTGAAGAAAATGGTAAGACTCTCTCATCTGGAAAGAATGAGGTTATCATTGAACGAATTCAAGAAGACATGGCAACCCCTTCCACAACCCCTTCAAACTGAAGAAGTCCTATAAGTTCTAAAATTTTTCATTTTTGTCACTTTTGTTTTACATTGTCTTCATTTTTATGCCTAAATTAGAAAAGAGGAGACAAACTTGTATTCCTGATGCTTTGATTTTTCTGATCAATGAAATTGTTTGTATTGTTTAATACTTTGTATTAAAAGTGTCATAATTCACCGAATGACGCTTTATGACAACAGTCATAAATATTCATGAAGGCTTATTCATGTGCATGACAGGTGTTATGTCATGTTTATGATGGTGTCATGACAGTCTTATTCACCCCCTTTCAAATAAAGTGTTACCAATTGTTTAATAAGAAACAGATAGTCTAGGTAACATTCTAAACAAACTTCAAATCGAAAAAGTTAGTTAAACTTATTCACTGATGCAACAACAGCAAAAAAAATAAACACAGGTATTAAGCTGTAAAACGTTTGTATCATGCGATGCAAAATTCAAGTTGAAAATCTCATTGTTATTTTATAGAGGAGTTTTGGGACACCTTCTGTTAGATAATGTATTGAAAGTTTGCATGTGATCACGTGAAAGGGATCATTTGTCCATGGATCAAAAACTTAAGACTTTATCTCATGTCTGTTAACAGAGTAAGAGCATTTATGTTCTTCTGTCATAGCCTCGACTACTTCAGCTGGAAATGAAAAGAAATAAACCCACAAGGGCAAAGACAGCAAAGAGAAAGTCATAAAGTTGTTGACTATGAAGAGACGGAATCAGAAAACAGTGCCAAACAAAACGGAGACGTATTTTTGTAAAGCAACTGTGGGCGGTTGTTTTAAAGTTTTTATGAGAGTGCTGCATTTGATGAGGCACTTAGAATTCATTGCACAAAGTAGATCAGAAACAACAGCACCGGCACAACAGATTGAATAAATTCAAACTTGGGGATATCGTCAGGCTGGCAACATGAATGCAAAATATTAAAAACATGTAATGCACCAAGTCAGATCTATTGATCTTATAGAAACTGTTCTCAATCATTCAGTATTTCACTTTCATGTTTCTGCTTTGTTTTGTTGGAGTTTTAATAGAAAACACATTCTTAAATTTCAACTTGTGCTGCTATTCTTTCTGCCCTCATTCCTTATCTGCAAGCTGTAAAAAGAAGGGAACTGATTTCATTAGGCTACTCTGTGACATATAGTATTTCTTTACATCTCGCGTGCATGAGCATCCTATATGCTCGTACTCCTAAATGAAGTCAAATGCAACCAGTTACCTTCAGAAATAGCTTAATTAGTAAATGAAATCTAATCCTGTATAATTTAAACACAGTATAAACCTAACTGTTCTGATGAGGCCTCGGAGAGCTTCTTTTTTAGTGAACAAACCGCATCATGAACAGAGAGGTCGGGGCTGAGGGTGAGCTTAAAGGGACAGAATTATGTATTTTTCACCCACATAGTGCCATTTTACAGTATAATCAAGTAATTATTTTACCTCCAACCATTATAAAAATGCTGCACACATATATATAATAAGCATAACTTAAAGAAAAAGGAAACTTGACTTTGTAATTTGACGCGTTGAATTTGGGTCTGCGTCAGTGCTCCTCCTTTCGTTAACACCTGTTCTCAGGAGCGTTGGACTGACAAATAGTTTATGCTTTATGAGGAAGAAGCTCGGCTTGGGACTACACCTCCAGGGAGGAGCTGTGGATAAATAGGCGTTTAGTTATCCCTGGATGGTTTTCACAGGAGATTTAAGGATTCCCCAAACATGCATGAATGTGTCAAAGCAGCACTCCAGCTACGTTTGGGATGAGGGAATAACATTACGACATAATGTAAAACTCAAAATGGTAAATTTTACACACCATTCCCCTTGGATAATAGACAAAGGTAAATGTCCCTTGTCCATTATCCAAAAATAGAACGTGCACAATGTGTATTTGAACTGACAGGCTGGGCAAGGAGAGCATTATTCAGAGAAGCGGCTAATAGGTTTATGGTAGCTCAAGAAGTCAGGCTGACATCCAAATATTGCTTTTATGTAAAAGTAGCAAGAAGAAAAACACAAGAAGTATTTGAATTTTGTCAAGACACAACAAACACGTAGCAGGTGGTCTGATTAGACTAAAATGCAACTTTTTAGAAAAGACTGTGCTTCACTTTTAAGACAGCAAAGTATGGCAGTGGAAGCATCATGCTGTGGTGACACTTTTCCTTAAGCATGGAGAGAGAAGTTGGTCAGAGAGCTAAACAAACCTGTAGGAAAATCTACTGGAAGCTGCAATAAACTTCCAATTTGGACAGAGGATCAAATTTCACCTATATAACACCAATAATTTTTCAACCAATAGAAGAGGATAAATGTCGATCTTTTCAAATGCAAAGACGGTGAAAAGATTATCCTAATCATTTTGGAAAAAAAAGCCAAGTTTAAATTTTTGTCCACTAACCAATACTGCACTTCTTTGTTGCCTTTTCACATGAAATCTGGATAAAATATATTGAATTTTGTAGTGCTAAGAGAGTGTAAATGCATTTCACAAGACCCCACACGTCTTGTTTTTGATGAGGGATAACAAAGTTTCAGCTTCTGAAGTAAGATCTCATCACACAGTGTTTGCTTTAGGATATGGATGCTTTTTTTTCCAAGTCTGTGTTGGATAGTAGGGTTTGCTTTGCAGCCATCTTGGGGCCACGACATCAGAGCTTATTAAAAATGAGCTTATTAAGAGGGCTGCCTCTGGACAGCTCTGAAAGACCTCAGAGAAGTCCAGAGAGTCTTTTATCTTTAGCACAGGTTGCTAACATAAAAGACAAAACTGCCCTTCATTTGTATATTCATAAAGATTAATAAGGAATACATCCCTAAATATTTAACAATAAGACAAAGTTTTCATAAAGTATTCACCATAGTAAACTTCAGCAATTAATTTCTTTTGACCAGAATCTGACTCATCTCACCTACGGCTGCTAGCAGCTGGAGTACAAGCAGTGTAAGACAAGAATCTTATCTCGGCTGAAAGTCACAGTGATCAAAGCAGCAGCTCCCACTCTGTAAAGTCTAATCTCTGTGCTGTAAAATGTCCCTCGTCTCTCCTCAGATCAATGGTGCACACCTCACTGCAGCAGCTTCCTCATCCCAGCTTCTGTCAACACATGCCTGCCCTGGACTGGCTGTGAGTCTGCTCTGACAGTGTACTTGTGTGCATGCAGGTGTGTAGTGAGAGATTTGATTGATGTTGTTTGTGTGCTAAAAAGGGAGAGTGAATGCACTTTTTTATTTTTATTTATTTATTTATTTATTTTTATTTATTTAATTAATTTATTTTTTTTATTTTTTTTTATTTATTTATTTTTGCGGCGCTAGTGGCCTGTATTTGAAAATAATATGACAGGAAGGGGGAGAAGACATGCGGCAAAGGTATCAACACGACGGGAGTCGAACTCATGACGGCCATGTTGAGGATAATATCCTCTGTGTACAGGACGCCACACGGCGATGTGAATGTGTGTTTAGTGCCTGTGAGTGGACTTAAGGACATTGTAAAAAAGGATGCGGAGAGCTTAGAGTGATGCTCCTGACTGACAGGCATCTTCAGCTTATGTCACTGTGGCCGGTCAGCTTGACCAGCTGCATCATCCGCAAGATGAGACTGAAACTCTCGATGACCTCATGCTTTCTGCAGCTTTTGTGTCTGAATGTCTGGAGCACTCTGCAGTCCTGGACTCAAATGTACTCAGGTTGTTTAAATGTGTTTTTCTTTTTATTTTAGAAAAATACCAGAAAACGCCACTGTTTTTATTCTCTTTTGGAAACAAATATATATATATATATATATATATATATATATATATATATATATATATATATAAATAAAGGGAACATTTCACTTTAATTTTGTGTGTGGCTCCAAATCCAGGCCTCCATTGGTTAATAAATTTGATTTCCATTGATGATTTTTGTGTGATTTTGTTGTCAGCACATTCAACTTTGTACAGAACAAAGTGTTCAATGAGAATATTTCATTCATTCAGATCTAGGATGTGTTATTTGAGTGTTCCCTTTATTTTTTTTTTTAGCAGTATATATATATATATATATATATATATATATATATATATATATATATAAATGGATTACCACACTTGAGCTTGCTCACACCAGCTCAAACAAAACCACTCTGTGTAGTTCTTAATGTCTCTCTTTGATGGTCTGGACGTGATAATCTTTTAATTATGAGTTTGTGATTTTGTTTGGTTCTACTTGAGTTGTTCTACTAATAATTTGGTTTGTTTGCACCACAGATTGCATCTTAAGGTTCTCCCACTACAAAGCTGGACTTTAAGTTACTTGTAATTGATTTTATAAAATCAAATAGTCAGTGCTGCTGAATTGATAGTAATATTATTTTGTAGATCTCTATTTACAAAGCAACACATTTAGGGTGAACTACATTACTAAAGCCACATTAGTTAAAGTTAAAAATGCCCCCCTACTGCCACATTTCTGTCCTATTGGAGTTTCGTGTTGCTGCCAACATGCCTGAACACAGTATCTTTCTGGAAAGACTTAAATATATTGTGTTTAGTCTTCTCTTGATAAATATTGTTTGAGAATCAGATATGTAGTGTGACAGATGATTGTTGCCTCCATTTATCTATAAACCCTCATGATACACAAATGTATATTTTTCAATTTATTACATTTTAAATGTTTTAAAACTGATATAGTCAACAACAAAATGAAAGTGATTTTCTGTTCGACCAGGAGGAGTGAATGCTGTAAGTCAGTGACTCAATGCAAACTGCTGGGTTTACTTAGAAATGTTTTAAGCAACTTTGTACAATTATTATCCTTGTTGTACTGTTGGATAACTAAAATCAACTAGAATGTATGGATGATTGAATTTAAATATTTTTTGTAAAGTGCCTCAGGACTTGTTGTCAACTTGTGCTATATAAATACACTGAATTGAAAGCACTATAGTTAAATGTGTTAAATTTACTTTACAAATTATTTCTTGCACAGGGTGGTATTACTTCGTTTCCATATTGTACTGTGAGAACCCTTGGCGTTAAGTTTTATCAGGATCCGTCTCTTAATTCCTAATTATTCCCAAGTACAGCATTATTTACTTTATCAATGAAACAGTCATAATAAGAAACTTCACGTCTTTAACTGAAGTTGAAAAAACCCGTTGATTCGTTCGTCATGTCCAGGGTGGAATATTGCAATGGGACTGTATCTGGATGTCCAAATAAATGCCTTAAACCTCTGCAGTAAGTTTAAAACTCGGGTGCATCTGAAATTTTACAGTTTTCAACAAGGGAGATCCTGTCACACCAGTGCTATCTTCCCTGCCCTGGAATGAAATGTTCCTTGTCTGGAATGTTAAGTTTTCTCTAGGAAATCTTTAATTATTATTCTATTGAGAAAACACGTATTTTTACCATATTGCCCATCTGTCGTAATGGTGATTATACTTGATTGATATATGTAATATTAATAATTTAACATTTCAGAGTGCTATTTACGGTCATGTTTTACATGTTCAAAACTATTTTTATGTTAATTCCTCTAAGATCTCAGTTTCTTTTGCAAGTTTCATGTTCACATCTGGACCCTTGTGCTTATTTTCACCAAAATGTTCATCTTCTTTGCCTTGCTTTTATCTCTTCTCTCAGAGATCTCGAGGGAAACCAGATTCAGACTCTCAACTATTCCATCTTAAAAACATGCAGCAAACTTGAAGTCCTGTGAGTATATGATAGACACATCAAATGATTTATGCAATATGGCTGTTATGTTTTTATTGCATTCATCCAGTGTTTTGAGAACAATCTGATCACTTGTGCATGCCATCAACTTTCCACTGCAGCTGTCTTCAGCATGAAGCAGAAGATTAGTTGAAACTTTTGATTCGCAGCTGGTGCAGATCCAGCTGTAGCGACACCAGGAGTTGTGTTCTATAAATGCACCATCGATCATATAACATTTTTGGCAGCCATATTTTGCTGGCCTGATACCTTTGAATCCTCAATTTTATTCCCAACATTTAAAATGAAATAATGTCCAAACTCATCCTTGCTGGAAGTACAAAACTGTTGCCCCATTTATGGAATCTTTTAAGATCAGACAATTGGGCTTTAACGTCCATTTTTCTGTTTTCCTGCAAATAACTTCACAGACCTGAAGGTTTATTGTTTGAAGAAATGTTTGTGTTTTTTTTTTTCTTTGCCTTAGTTTTGGATGATAAGACACAAATGCTTCACCAAATGTCTCTGGTAATGTTGTGCCCTTCACTAACTTCACCTTAAAACCACGTTTTATTGTCGGTGTTAAATTACCACGTGGGCAGAGCGACCTTGATTTTGCTACATTTCAGTTATCTGCAAGTTCAGGCACAAATCTTGCCTTTCAGTGGTTTAAAATAGTGAACGATGAGGATTTATGTGACATTCTTGTATTTTTGTTTTTTGCCACCCTTTGTTTGGAGACATATTTTTTCTGGTCTTCAATCGTTTCAGTTCTGTGCAATGAACTGTTTTTGTCTTTGTTGCCTTTGCATTTTCTCATATTGTCCTTTTAAATGGTTTTCCTACATATTTGTTCTACAACTAGTTAGTAAAACTCTACCGCTCAGTAGTTCATGCAACACTTTTTCAACTTTCAATGTAAATTCAGGTTATTATGACTTTAATCAAAGAAGTCTGACTTCTGCAATACATATCAGCAGATCTATTGCCTCAGTTTTCTTAATATTTTGTTCTCCATGTGACTAGAAGTTGCTTTCTCCCAAACTAAAGAAAAAGGGATGTATGCTAAAATTTAGTAAGTAAAGTACCTAAATTATATTAAAGTGACCAAAACTTTATATTCAAAGGGAAATCCTTGACCTGCCAATAAAAAACATTTTACGATAAAAAGGTGGGCTCTGTCAAAAACATGTTAAGTGCACTGCTTAGTTGTCATTATTTTCAAAGGTACTTCTAATATGACTTAGGAGAGTAAACAGAAGACACATTCAATTTTATGAATAATTCTGTGTATGAATTCAGAACTACAACCAGATATATAAAACGGGACAACCAGTCTCACTATTTAACATTAATTCAGTTGAACTTTTTCAAGTTTTAGGTTAGTTAGGATTAGCAAAATAATTTTGATTTTGATAAAAGACAGGGGAGGGTGTGAGCAGTGAGTACACAAGCATTAGTGACATGATTGCCGATATTTTCCTTGTGGCTCTAATTGGTTGCTTCTGATGGCAAAAGGATCAGTGGGAGGAGTCAGATGAGCTCGTTTTTTGTTGTTTTTTACAGATTCTCTGTCACAACACAGTGACAGTTTTAGCAAACATGTAAAAAACACACATTTACAAATGTTGACCTCAAATGCTGAACCCCAATATGTATTTATTCATTATATTGTTCTGATAGATGCGTGTGCATGTTCTTCTTGCATTACAAAAAACTTCTACCAGGATTATTTCGCTATTTCAGTCTAGTTGGAGAGTTTTTTTGTGTGTGTGTGTGTGTGTGTGTTGGAGAGGAAGCAGAAGAAAACAATGCACAAGTGTTTTTGGAGCCAGAACTCAGCTGGCATCTCACAGATCTTCCCAGACTCATAATAGGTTATGTTTCATACACCCACAGCAGGGTTCCACTGTAGCACATTGTCTTACTTTACATGCTTTCTGACTGCAAATCTGTCTTGTTCAGATTACTAATGGACAACAGAATCACGAGAATCCCCGAAGACACATTTCAGTCTCTGTGGAAGCTTGGGGAACTGTGAGTTTATATTTTTTCTTCCTTTCTGTGCACATATTTGGACACAGCTGCTCACGCTCACTTTGATTAAAAATGTTTTCAGTCAGGACTGATACTTCTGCTGAATGTGTATTTACATCTGGTTGAGATTTTTTGTTTTAGTGGAAGATATTAAGCAGCTTTGGATCTTTGCCAGTGCTGTTTGCCAACAGATAAAGGAATAGATCTTCAATAAGGCGTAGTAAGTTTCCTGCAAATTAATTTAGAAGAATGCAAGAATTTGTAATTATTTAAGTCGACTCAAAATAAAAACTTAAAAGGATCCTTAAAGTTAAAGACATGCTTTTATTTCTGAGATGGCGATATACAATGAGTTTGAAAGAGGGGTTAGAGATACAAAGGCACCAAGCTAAAAATGACTAAGCCCACTTAGAAAATGCCCCACCCTAAGAGTGCATGGCAAGACTTAAATAGCAACATATCTACGCAGCTTGCTATAACCCAGCTTTGGCAGAGGAAATATGCTTCACACTGAAGTAACATATTATTTCTGGATGCATCATTAAGGGTTGTGCTGTGGAATTAAGCTACATATTCACTGACGTATAATACAGTGCTCTTTTCTTACTTGTTTAAGTACATCTGAAATTGTTGCTGACATTCTCCATTCAGGAAATAAATGACATTTTAAAGACTAGGAGAGAAACACCCGAAAGGACTTTCAGAAATGATTCCAGTGAACTTTGGTTGAGTCAGGTTTGCTGAATTCAAATCCAATCCACACTTTTTATACTTCATTTATGAAATATTTAGGGAACCATGTTTAAATAGGTGTTTGCAATGTGACAAAATATTAAAAGTATAAGTAGCACTGACTACTTGTTCAAACTTTTTGCAGGCTATGACTGATAATCCCTTACAGAAATATAAAGTATAGTAATTTTTCTTTTCTTGCCCTCCAATCTTGTTTAGAAATCTTTCTGGTAATAGAATCAATGAGCTGCCAAAGAACACGTTCAAGAACCTCTCCAAGTCCCTCCTGAAACTGTGAGTAACAAGTTATACCAAGATTCAAACATTGTCTTATTTTGTGCATATTGTAATCCTGCCAAATCAAGGTGGAGTTTAAAGTATTAGGACTAAAGAAAGTATGAAGATCTATAGTTTAAAGGTAGGATTATAAGAGCTTGACCCTGCTGGAGAGAAAAGGGGGAAAAAAGAGGAGACTAAGGGAAAACAGAAAAGTTTTCTTCTGTTTTGAGACTTGAGGCAATTCTACTATTGTTATGTACTAGAAAATCATGTGACATAGAAATGTAATTATTTCATTTCAGTTCAAGCTTTATTTAATCAAGGACAGCACAGTTAACAATGTTACATGACAAAAACAAAGCAAACGTTTTATACAAAGGTTTTCAACCAATGTAATCTAATCGGATTTTTTTTCAGGCAGCAAAATTAGAATGACAGAGTCCCATCACACACACACACACACACGCGCGCACCCTCGCTAACATTTTTATTGCTAATGGAAAACTGTTCCAGATACGAGGATAACTAAATGAGAAGGAACCTTGACCAAATGATATTTTGTGTGTTGCAGGTTTTCAATCATTAACTTCGCCTGTAGATAAACGTCTGTGCTGCTGGCTATTTCCTCAGCTTGTCAAGATTTGAGGCAGAGATCAAATAACGAGTGTAAATGAATTAAACAGATTTGTGTTTGGTTGCCAAATGGAACATAAAATATTCTTCCAGTTATGTGCAAGTCCTAGAAAATGGATTTAGCTATATTCACTTGGTGGTTTTTTTCTTTTTTTTTCTTTTGGTGGTAAAATATTCTTATCTTTGTTTGGAGCAGAGCTAAAATGCAGTCACTAGAGAAAGGCATGTTGAAAGCTATAATAAAAAAGAAAATTTAAAGGTTTTGTCCAAGGTAAACAGGACAAACAGCATGAACATAGCAAAGGGCAATAGAATGGAAGGATCCATTGAGAAAACAATGAAAAACCAGGAGTTTAAGCACTGAGGCAGGGTTTAAATATGAACTAATCAGAAAAAATGAGGAACAGCTGTGGGAGAAGGAAACAAGGAAACTGAGGTATGGAGACTAATTAACACTGAGGAAGCTGAACTAAGACTGAAAAAAGCATAGAAGAACCATTAGGGGAAGGCCTGGAACTAAAATAAGAGAATAAACCAAAATATGCGGAAAAAAGAACATGAGAACAATCCAAGCACAACAGAATGAACAAATATGGCAACAGCATTGTAATAATATTGAAAACAGAAAGCTGAATAGGATATCACCCAAAGAACAAGAAAATAATTAAATGGCAAACAAAAAAACACAACCAAAACTCAAGCTCCTGTGGATTGTGACTAAGCTATAATGACATTTAGAGCAATAAAATTATATTCAAAAGTAGGGTCAAGATAAACATGAACAATATAATGAAATACAAAACAGTCTTTCAAATGTTTTCTTTGAATCTCTATGTACTGGTGCAGTGTGATTATTTTTTTAAACATTATTATTGTTAATGCAAAACAATAGAGGGCATATTTAAAAACTGTGCAGTGTACCATCAGATACAGCAGTCTACAGGGTAATAAAAAAAAGCCAACAAAAAAACCACGAGAAAGAAAAGTGCATTAGTAAAATAAACCAAACATTTCCAATCATAAATAAAACATTAAGGTAATAAATTAAAGCAATTCTTCTTGACAGTGGTTTGGTTGGGGTTTAATTTTAAAGAAACCAATTTGAATTAAGTGGTTTTTCAAAACATAAAAGTTTCTTAGTAGAGCTTTTTTGCACACACTCCCATCCAAACATTAAAGTGTTATCTGCTGGGGTGGAACTAACATCTTTAGTATAAACTGCTGACAAAAAAAATTAAGACTATTCTGTACTTCTCTATATTTTTAACATTGTTCCTTAGAGAGAAACCGAGATAATAAAAATGTGAATGTTATTTTAAAGTAAATCAAAAGCCAAAAGTCTTCAGACATTGGCTGCAGACAAGTGACCTGAGCTGCATGTCCAGCATGTATTCTGATTGGCTGTCACTGCTTTCCTTTATCCTATATTTAGTCACATCTGACTTCCGCTTTAGAGTTTTCATACTCTATGAATTCAGAAATCAAATAGTCTCTCGGTTTATATAGCACTAGATAAAAACAACTAAGTTTGCCCAAAGTGCCACACACAGTTAAAATATTTAACAACATTTACTATTAAATTATTATTTTACCACTTTGGGGCACTCAAAAAAGTTTAAAATTTTCATCACTAGGTCTTCAGGAGATTATTAATATGAATAGAAAGTGATAAAACAAGACAGTGATGATACAGCTAAACCAATAAACCTTGTGCTGAAACATTTGTATACTATAAATGACTTATTTCTGTCCAACATGCAATCAGGGGGTGTTTAAAAGCAACACACATACTTCAAACAGTGAAAGGATTGAAGAACAAATAGCTTTACTCTTCCTGTTTAGGAGCTCCTAAAGTGAATTATTTGAAATGCCAACGCATATGCCAAGATAAGAATAATTGTGGCAGGAGCTGAAAGATTAATGAAGTCGGGAATAAAAGTTGGGTTCCCTCGTTTAAAAGTTCTAAAAACTACCAGTAAAATGTTCTCAACGTGACTCCAACTTCACAGGCAGCTGCTATAACGACTCAGTCCAAATAGAAAAAGATTATGTTACGTTACCTGTTCAGATTTAAGATGTTGGCCACAATCCATTTTTTACTTCAGTTGTGCATGTGGATAGACTTAACCACCAGGATTATCCAGTTTAATTAGAAAAATCAGGAGCAATATGATGCTCCTGAGATAATAAAACAAACCTAGTCCTATTAAACCTGCCTCCATTACTGGTTTTGTCAACCTCACGCAAAAAATGTCACCGAGGTTCAAATTGTCACTTGCCCAACTTCGGCCCCCTCCAGAGCGATTATCCTGCAGCTTCTTAATGCGTCCCTTTTCCAACACATCTGTATCAAATGAATGCCTCGTTGCCAGGCCTCTGCAGAGCTGGACAACATTCAGGGATACAGCTACACATTGCATGATATCAGTACTGGGCTTGGAAACCTATAGTAGTACAGCTTGTCAGAAATACATATTTGCTTTATTTAACTTGAAACACTGTCATGCTTTTAGTCATGTTTGGAATCAGCTACACAAAAACATTTAAAGGCCAAACATTGATATGCAGTCTGTTATGTGGTTTTGTAGCTTGTTCCGTCTACAAGGCAAAGGACTAATTAATGGACCAGACGTGTGGTTTCTGTATTAAATCATATCCAGTGTTAATAGTTGTGCTGTTGTCTGTTTCCAACCACACTACAGTGTCAGATGACCAAATGTTCTCTGCCGAATGGTCAGAATGGGTAAAGTTTGTCAGAACACTGAGCAATATTAAACTTTGATCAAACATCCACTTTTTCCCGGACATGTCCACTTTTCACGCTCTATAAAGTGGAATCAAAGAAACACCCGGGGGATTTCTTTGATTTATACCCAAGTTTTAATAGTTTTCATACTTAAATAGACTGGCGTGACAAAACAGCCTTTGTTGTATGTGTCGTCCTCCTGGAGCCGCTGCCTAGAGGGTGGTTCGTAGCAAACTGCGGCGGAGCAGAGATACACGCATTGCTTCTCTGCTTCAGTTAAACACCCATAATCCTGTGCTGCAGCACTAGAATGGTCACATAGCTAAATAAGTATCATATAGCCACTCCCTTCTTTAATTTTTCTTTTACTTTTACGACTAACGTTGAGTAATATTTAAAAAAAAAAAACGTGAAAAAAATAGTTACTGAAGCGTGATGACATCAGTTGAATCCCGAACTTCGTCTTAATGTGTAACACAGTGATCATCCAAAACAAATGTAATAATAGCGAACTCTCCAGCTGAATTCGTAATGTGAAGATTTATAGTGATTTACAACTGTAGAAATATTATCTCTGAGCAGAAGGTGGGAAACTCTTAGAACACGAGTTCTAATCGCATATAAATAACCAAGTCGTCAAATTCTGGGGAATAAATATTTTTGCAGAAGCAGAAGTCTTATATCCAAAGATGGTTACAGGATAATATAACAATAGAACTAAAAACACACAATTTTAAAAGATTTTAGTTGCTGTAGATTAAGTGTGGTGAAGAGGAAATCTTGGAATTTTGGTCCCTGTTGAATATTTTGAGGCAGACGTAAAGAAAAAAAAAAAAGCTGGAGATTTTCTGTTGGCAAAATATTTACTGATTTGTCAAGAGATCCCACACTGAGTTTGCAAGTAATCCTGAAGTATTTCTTTCTGTAGAAATATATCCTACAATCCCCTTCTCCGCATTCATCCGAGTCACTTCAACCACCTGACCCAGCTTCAGTCTCTGTAAGTGTAAAACACGCTGTTACATTTGAGTTTCCACAGTTTCTTTGAAAACAGAATTGCCTGCCAACATACGCCCAAAGCTAATATCTAGTTGTTGACTAAATTCAAAACCTTTGTTTTAACTTTCAACCAACTATTTAAAGAATAAAAAACAATAAAAAATACTGAGTATTTATCACATTGCAAAAAAATATTTTAATGTGACTTTATTGCTGTGTTTTCCGCTGCCATCACATGCCTCCTGCTCTCTGACCAGTGGTAATATTTTCTGTTTTTATTCAGGGCTCTGGAAGGTATCGAGATACCAGATATTCAGACTAAAATGTTTCTTCCCATGAAGAACCTTTCACACATGTAAGTAAGATCTCGATGAAATGCCACCACTGAATAAGCAGTATTACATCATTTTATTTTTTTATGAGCAGTCATTGTCTGTCTCCTTGTTTTTTTTTTCCTGCTGCCATCACTTGTCCATCTCAGCTACTTTAAGAAATTCCAGTACTGCTCCTATGCTCCTCATGTGAGATCGTGCAAGCCCAACACAGATGGCATCTCTTCATTTGAGGACCTGCTGGCAAACATGGTGCTGCGGGTGTCTGTTTGGGTCATGGCTTTCATTACCTGTTTTGGGAATCTCTTAGTCATCGGTATGAGATCACTGATCCGTGCAGAAAACAATCTACATGCTGCCTGCATCAAAGTCCTCTGCTGTAAGTATCTGCACATCATTAAACAGTGTTTTTAAGAAGGAAGCAATTCACTGTTTCAAATAATTTAGGCTATAAATTACATCGTTGTGGCTTAAGGTTTTGTCAATTTGTTTTTCAGAATGTTTCACATTTCCATGCTATGCCTGCGAGCAATAATTTGAAAAAAGCAAACACACAAAGTTCCCATTGTGTGTGTTTTATGTGTCACAGTAGGGAGTGTAGTTGTTTGGTTCTCCACTGCTTATGAGTTCATGTCCAGAGTCAACGATCTTCATGTCGATGTATTAATCTGCAAGCATTTGTCAGAGCAACATTGAATGAGAATCAATTGTAAAGCACTTTGAATGGACAGTATGAGCAAAAAGCAACGTAGAAATTCAATTTACTCTTTTATTGGATTTTACAGGAGCATCAAATGTAGACACATATAGATTCTTTACACACAGAGCAAAATATTTAATTTTATCTCTGTTCTAACACTTCAGGCATGAAGTGTAATCTCATGAATTTCACTTCGACACAGCAATAAAGTCACATTAAAATATACGACATGTAATGTGTGGGGAAATTCAATGCGTCTTACAGCATTAAAACGTTTGGGACTTCAACGCTTCACATATTCTTAATCATTCAACATGTGACGTTGAACATGCATAAAATATGTGGATTTTTTTGTGTAGAAAGTTAAAAACTATTTTAGATTTGACTTGTATGTGACGACTGAATATTTAGTATATTTCTATTAACTCTGGCTCGGCAAATTTCAACCTCTGAACCAAATCCTGATTGATGGCGAACCGTTTTTGTTTTATCGTTTCCAATGTGTTGCCATCTTGATATCCAACTGAAGAATTGATCACTGGTTATCAATGGGATTGTTATGTTGGGATTTTTGTGGTTGCTGATCCAAGCTTTCATCTCTATGTTCTTTCTCTGGTATTTTTGGACAATGTGCTGGATTATTCCTCAAATCTTTGGAAAAAGTTACCCTCATATCTATTGATCCCAATTCCTCATTTCTCGGCTGTGTGTTCTTGTCTCTCATAAGCAACTCCACATGTGATTTGTGTCAGAATGATTAACTGTTGCCACAACACATGATTCATGATGACCATTAGTTTTTCTTCTGTGGACAAAATCTTTTTAAGATGCCCCAAAAGATCTGAAGCAGGAGTCATCAGATAAAATAATGCTGCACCACTCATGTGTGGTCCACCTTGTACTCCCTCCAAAATTTGAGATTTTCTTTGACAGAAGTGTTTTCTTTGATGCCGTCTCCCCAAAAGGCTGTCCTGCAAAAGTCTTCCTCTCTTTTTACATGCACATATTCTCCCACCATGCTGCAAGTGTGAGCAAGCTCTGCACTGGTGGACATGCTGAGGACTCATTTGAGGCAACTCGGCTGCTCCTCTTTGGTGCAATTATTTATGAAGTTGGTGGTGGAGCTGCATATCTGCTGAGCTCGTTATACCAGCAGCTTCTCAGTGAAGCGCTGGTAAAAAAAAAAAGGTTGTTAATGGGTTAATAGAGGAGCAAAGTTGTGATGACTTGGTGAAAAGAGCATATTATTTTTCAGTTATATGCTTTCACAGATTCAACTGACATTTTCAAACTAATTTAGCTGTTAGCCATTAAATATTGTGCTTTTGAATCGCTTAATCTGAAAAAGGTGTAAAACCCAAACTAAACGGTTTTAAATTAACAAAGTACAGCACTTGTCACCTATGCTTTTTATTACTTTGATTATGCTTAAAAACTAACTTTACTTTTAAAATGTGATGGTAATGTAGCTTTATTGGTAAGCCAATACATCTACATCTATAGTGCTTCTTATGTCTTTTTGCAAAAAAGAAAAAAAGACCAAAATGGCAAGTTATTAAAAGTTGTTCCAGAGGATTATTTATCTGTTAGAAGGACAAATTGAAAGAGGATATTCAAATAAAAAGAGAATTAAATACTTTTATGTCCATAAATAATAATTCAGTAAAATCTCATCTGAAATGGGACACCAAGCAGATTTAATTTTTGCTTCTTCATTTTGTTTTATACTGCGTATGACACTGCAATAATCCAACCTGGAAGGAAAACATAATGGGAATACAGCTGGAGGAAAATTAGTCCAATTTCTCTAAGGACAGCATTCAAAATAATTTGTGAGGTAGAGAAAAGAGTATGAGCTGTTTGAAATGTGAGACAGGTACTGCTCGCATATAAACAACATTGTGCATAAATTAATTTGAGTAATTGCAACATCTATTGTAAATATATTTGAAGAGAGAATTTTAGGAGTTTTGAAAGTATCTTTACTTGCAGCTGTGGGAGCAATTCAGGCAGAAGCTCTCCCTGGTTGCTTTTTTAATCTTTGTTTTCTTTTTATGTAGATATTTAATAATGGAAATAAATCAAATGTATAAGCGTCATTAAAATACTCTGGAAGATGTGGATAAGACTAAACAATCGGTAATTATTGAAAAAGCCATGAGAACCCTATGAATGTTTATTGTGATGATGTCAATTAGCAAATTGAATTTATTGCTCAGTTCTTTGAAGAGTTCAAGTTTCATTGTTTTGTTATTCATATGCTTGTTTTCATTGTTAAGAAGTTGTGTTGAAATGAGATCCTGTCTGTAAAGATGCTTGAGGAAAAGAGGATCCTTTAACTATGGGGACATTTAATGGGTAAATGTTTTATTTTATTATGTATAGGAAGATCCTATTAATTGTAAATCCATGATTGAATCCTGACTAAGGAAGGCAACATTTTATAAAATGTCACTGCGTTTTTACAGGACCTTGCAAATGTTATAATACAAGTAAAATGGAGGTGATACATCATTTTAAAAGGATTTTGTAAATTAAAAGAATCTTAAAAACACACACAAGAAAAACCTTGAAACAATTTTTGATACAGTTGGAGCTGGAAGTCTTTGGGTTATGGATCTACCAACTTCAGGCATCCAAAGACTAACTTTTGTTTATTAATTTTTGGGAAATTGTTCAAGCCCAGACACAACTATTACCTTCTTTGAACTTCAAATGTTAAGTCTTGCTAAAGATTCTGAATTGAATTTAGGTCTGTGCTTTGACTGGCCCATTCTAACACAAGGATATGTTTTATTCTAAACCATTTTATTGTAGCTCTTGTGCTTGAACTTCACCTTTGATAAAGTGTTTTGGCAGAGTAATATGCAACATAAGTTTACCTCCATACATATTCGAAGGCTTTCATGTTTGGTTTTGGTCTCATCTGACTAAACTATCTTTGTCGCCAACATGGCTTGGCAAACAACGTTACTAAGGAAAAAGACAAGTCTTCCTTACATGCCAGGTTTGTGGACTATACAACAAATGTGAAAGCTGAAACCACCTGAGCTACAAATTTCTGCAGCTCCTCAGATGCTTCTCTAAATAGTGCCCTTCTCATCAAACCAGTCAGTTTAGGTGAACAGCGACGTTTTGGACATTTGAGTGGATCAAAAAGAGCTTTCTTTGACATGTTCATTTTTTATGATGATGGTCAGAACCTGACATTTCATGAAGCATCGCTGCAACTTTATCTCTGACCTGTCTGCTGTCTTCCTTCATTTTCATGCTGCACTTTATTTTGTAATGTACTCCGACAAACCTCTGAGGCATTTACAGAACAGCTGGATTTATAGTACACACAGTGGATCATTTGTTCATTAGGCAGCTTTCAAGACAATTGAGTGCAGAGGGTTTTATTTAGGGGTCTCAGACAAAAGAAAACAAGAACAAACTGACTAAAAAAATGCATATAAGTGCTTATTTCTTGGTTAAGAGAGCCTCAAGGAGTCTGTTATCTCTCTACCTTGATTAGTTCAGCTGTTTTAGTCTTTTTATTTATATTTTACAAAATAAATAAAACAAAAACACTTAAATTTTGCTTATTTGAACACCAGTGCCAGATTAACGCCATCCAATATTTTTATACCAAGACATCCAAATGTTTGATTTTCATTGTCACTCCTTACTTTAGGATTACACAGACAGAATCATGGCTTAAACATTTCAGCTGCATTGTCGCAGTCCATTTCAGCACTGAAGAAAGTCACCTTCTAACAAATGATTAAAGACATCAGTGGGAGTCTGCCTTTTAAAGTGACAGGTGCTTCTTGTTTTCTTTTATTAACTGTGTGGGAATGTATGTAGGGAGTTGTTTTTTCTAACAGTCCATTAAAATTCTTCTGATTGCCTTTAAAGTCTTTCAGTATTTTTCTTTTGTTTTCATGTTCCAAGTTCTGTTGCATAACCTTACCATTCCCTCACAGAGTCTGTGCCTTTTGCTCATCGTTTCCACCCATTAACTCCTCAAGTATTTCCTCATAAATCCCAGCTTCACCTGCTTGCTTCTTGTAAACCGGTTTACTATTATGCATAAGCACAGCTGAAGCCAAACCACGTATTTACATTGTATTAAAAGAAGTATAATCGTAACTTTTGATTGATAGAGTTATAGTAAATAATTTCTGATTTAGCTCGCTTATGTTTACCGAAAGAGAATTCTATTTGCTTAGCAAATAGATTCTATTCTTAGTCATTGTCCATCTGAAAACAATGTCATTTCTGAGTTAGATTTAACTTCTCAGCTGATGTTTGGAGAGTGCTTTATTTTTTTCATATTTCTTGTCTTTTTGTGAAGTGTACCAGTCCCATCTGCAGCAAAACACCCACAGAACATGATGCTGATGCAGCCATCTGTGTCCTTAAGCATGCAAGCCTTCCTCATTATTTTTCTCTGAATATAACAGGGTTCATTGTGTCCAAACACTTTAATTTTTGTTTCATCGGACCACGAGACACGCCACCAGAAATCAAGGTCTTTGTCCCGAAGAAGGATGCATTTTATGTTGCTTCACTGGCTTTTCAGACAGTTTCACTGTGAATAATGATAAGAATGTTTATTCATATAGCACATTTACAACAACCTTAGCTGGCCATAATACTTACAACATCAAAGCTACATATGTGATAAAATAAGAAATACAATTTTACATAAAACATGATGAAATTGGCAATAAAATAATAGGAATAAAAACAAGTCATACTTTATTTCATCTTGATTTCAGTTTCTCAAAGACTTGTACCAATTAAATACTATTTTTTCCCTTCCTTTTTTTTTTTTTTGAAAGTTTACTCTGATTTAATATTAAATAGAGAGGGAAAGGTATGTATGTATGTAAATATCTTGTTTCATCTGTATGTTTGAAGTAAAGCAGATTTCCCCTGGCAGGTTTACTCTTGACTGCTCTCAAATGGTAGTAACATTAGGTTTCTGAATTTTAATGAGGCACGATTTTTGTTCTGTTGGGAGCAACCAACAGCTGGCAGATAGACATAAACCCACCCTGGGGTGTTACTATGAAAATATGTTTGTGTCCTATCATCTAGGTGCAGACTGCCTGATGGGGGTGTACTTGTTTTTCGTTGGCGTGTTTGATGTGAAGTTCCGGGGACAGTACAATCGAAACGCCCTGCTGTGGATGGAGAGTGTGGAGTGTCGCACCATTGGCTTTCTAGCCATGCTCTCCTCAGAGGTGCTGCAACACACTTTAATCAACAACTTATGTGATATATAAAAATGGCTGTTTGAGTCTGAATATTTTGTGGATATTCTCAAATCCAGACAAAATCATATTTAGATGCTCTAAATGTTCCTGGGGAAGTTGCAGTTCTACAATATCGACAAGCGTAGGCATTGCTCTGTTTGGGTATTCGACCCCTTTTCTCAGCAAAATTGGTAGATCTCATTTTACTGTGCAACAAGTTTTCAGTTTCAGCCATTTCACCCAAATTGCCACCATCAGATAAGAAGAAACTCGATCCAATGTTCATGAATAACTTAGGAACAGGGCTCCAGCCAATCATGAAATTGAAAATACTGAAACTACACTGTGATTGTCCACATGGAAACAAAGTTAATGTATGTAGGGAGCAACCAACTTAATAATATCACATCTAATTGTTGCGTTTAAAATTCCTGTGTAAAGAAGAATGGTTAGAATTGGAGATTAAAATCCAAAAGCAACCCAACGTGAGTGTTGTAGACCTGCTGCATGGACAATCCACTAGCGGTCATGGCAGCTGCACATACTGATATCCATTAAAGTGAGTAATCAACCAGTGTGCAGTGAAAATGAAGATAAGTTTTATATGCCATCAGTTATAGAAAAAAAATAATAAAAATGACCTTGCAATATTGGAAGCATTTATGCTCTAAATGTTCACTTTTACTATTCCTATTTGTCATAGTTATTATTTTCTTCCAGGTATCTGTTCTCCTCCTGACGTACTTGACTCTGGAGAAGTTCCTGGTTATTGTGTTCCCTTTCAGCAATTTGCGCCCAGGAAAACTTCAGACTGGGGTGAGATATCTCATCTCCCTCTGATCCAAATTTGAATGTTATTGTTGTTTTTATCCTGGTCCAGCGCTGATTCTCTGTAATTCACATTCAGCTGCTTTGTTGTGTAGAATCCAGCGCTGCGCAGTATCACATTACTCATCCATTTGAAAATCCTGCGTAAAATGATGTGGGCATGTTTATTATATTAGTAAATCCACACACAGACGAGTTGGTTCACGCAAGCAACATGTTTTTTGGCAGCACTGAATGCACAAACTGCCTGTTGTGTCATTTATAGAGAACATTATAAAAACACAGTGTGAAATCTGCAAACAAATTACAATTAAACAAGATTTTTCTTTTTCAAATACACAAAACAGAATATTGTTACGTCCTCTGAGACCGGTTAGGAGAAAGCACATTAGCTGAGGTGTCAGCAATGAGAAGAAGAAAATGACATCTGTTTTAAAGATAGATAGTTTCCAGCTGCTTGTCTTTGTTCAGAAATTAACAAGAGACGCTGAGGTCCTGTTAAAAGATATGCAGACTTAATTAGATTTCCAAGCCTACAGCTGTTTTATTGCTGACAGCGAATCCCATAAAAGGTTTTTAACAATCTGTCATCAATCTGTTTACAATTCTGTTCTTATTTTACCCGAGTTAATAAGTGCAATATAAGTCTGCAGCTGTATAAAACCCAGAAATACAGACCTGTTCCTCTCAAACAGCATGAATAGTTTAAATGAGCACTATTATGTGAAATAAACTTTTGCGAGCTTTGCATCATTTTAGAATGTTGTTCCCTCATCAAAAACATACTTGGGGTGTTGCTTTGATTCATTCTTACATATTTGAGAAATCCTTCAATCTCCAATGGCAACCATTCAGATGTGCTAAACTCCTGATCTCACCGAGCGCCGCCTTTTCCACGCAGCTCCTCCTCAGAACTGCAGTCTCCAAACTGAGTTTCCGCCTCACAAAGCAGCCCTCACCCATGATTCCCTCACTCAGCTCCTACAGACTAGTAGCAACAACAATTAGCGCAAACACCAAGTGGAACTGCACATGCTGAGTTTATCATACGAGCTACAAAACCAGTAAAATTGTTGTAACAGGCTTAATGGAGAAGCATTGTTGTGATGACGTGCTGAAGGCGGGGTGTCGGAGACATGATGAGCTTCTTAAAGAGACAGAGTCTAAATTTGAAGGAGTTAAATTGCAAAGTCAATTTACTTTTTAAGTTATGTTTGATACAGTATGTTTATGACCACTGCTTGACTGTGGTATAAAATGGCATTGTATGCCTGGAAAACACACAATATTGCCCCATTAAAAATTAGCAGTTGTTGCTTTAGAGCAAAGAAAAACATAAAACCTTTCTATATTCATATCTGACTATCAGGGCTCCATGTCTGTGTCACTATTTAATTTTTTTTTTATTAAGTTTTATTGTACTCTGTTGGATACACACTTCCCTGTCCAAAAACTAGTCACATACTCTAATATTTCGAGCCGATTCACTGCCAGAATTTCTCTTTAGCACATCTCAAAGATGCTCAATGAGGTTAAATTCTGGGTTCTCTCCTGGCCAATCCGTGAATGAAAACAATGTCTCATGCTCCTTGAAGCACAATTTGAGCTAAATGAACACTGGCTTTGTTTTCCTGGAATTATCAGAACAAATTCACTGATGGAAAAAGTTGCTCACTCAGTGACCTTAAGTAGTCAGATGACTTCTTTCGTTGAGTATATAACGTTGCTGAGCCTTCACTAGGTGTGACTAGTTCATTCGTTCATGTGCCCACTTCTCACTCTGATGCACCTGATCAAAACCTCTTCTTACTCGAGTATTTTTACCTAAATAGCTTCATAATATTATATGCATCTATGTAATTAATCTACAAAGCTTAACATGCTAATATTACATGATGCAGATTAATCACATTACCAATTTTGACTTAAAAACTTCCCTCCCATTTAGGGTAACTTAGTTCACAGCAGCTCATTATGCAGTCTTGTACAATGATGCAGAATTAATTAGTCACAAACTGCTCAGCAGCAAATTTCACCTTAAAAAACACTCTGATGGAAGTCTGCGAATTATCCTCCAACCAAAGCACAACCACTTTATAGCAAACATCTCTAAATTAACATTTAATTAAAAATAACTTCTTTTAAGCATCCCAGAATATGAAAACCTTGGTGGTAGGCTCAAAAACTGTTGGAGATGGAATCTTTTTGAGCATGCATTCGCTTAACGATCCTTTCTGAAGGAAAGGACCTTCAGAGATCCAAACCCTGGAGCAACAGAGATTACTACCACAAGACTATCTTAAAGTGACCTGCATGGCTGGCAGGAGAGGTGCTGTCCTCTTTCTCCAGATGTGTCAGAAGAAAAAGAGACAGCTTTAAGGGAACCGCAAGTCTGCCAGTTCTTGGAGGAACAAAAACGACCCAAATAGGCATTCTCTTCTTGTCTTGAATGGATTTTGATGTCAGTACTGACAGATTTACTACTGGAAGTTTTTTTTCCTTCTCCCATTTTCCCATTTTATTCCTCCCACTTAGAGTTAAATGGGTAATAAAAGTGTGAATAAGACCATATAATCATAGGGAATAACCTTCCTCTTGACATCTGAGAGTCAAACAGTTTCTAAACTTTTTGGTGTCACTTTAAATTTCATAGAAAGATTTGTCTTTTAAAGAGGAAAAGTCTTGGTTAGTAATAAATATTTTTTTAACTATGTTTATTCTTTTAATAAATATTAATTCTTGAATAATATAAAATCTCTTTTTAGCCTCTCTTCTAAGTTCATTCAGTCTGATTAGATTTTTATAACCAAAAAGACTCAGTGACTTAAGAACACTAAAGTTTTTTAAAGTAGCCCAAAATTGCTACAAAATTGCTACAAATGTCTGTCAATAAAATGTTTTTGTATCAGGTCTATAAGAACAGTAAGGTAAATAAGTGCATTTTATTTCTATATAAAACGACAACAACCAAAGCATTACTCAAAACTCTGTCTGAATGAAAATGTCTGGTGCTGTTTCTCTAAAGTCCGTGCAGTCTGTGCAGCGTAGAGATGGTGCGAAGGTTTTCCAAAGTCTAAGAGGACAGATTCAAAACTGTATGAGCAGAATGCTGACACTGTGCAAGGCGCCAGTGGTCTGTGAAATGAATTCATTACCCTTGCTTTAAGAAGAAGAAGTTATAAGGGTTTGATTTTTTTCCCTGATTCTTCTTTCTTGCTTTTCAACTCGTTTGATTTAGGAGTATAGGAGTTAAGTTAACCCATGTTCAGTTTATATGTGGTATAATTCCTTCCACTTTACATTTGCGGGTGACTTTTTGGTTTGCTGGAAATATTCCCAATAAAATCATATCAGAAATAGTGAGAAATTAATGTAATTGTTTGTAGATAGAGTAAATAAAAGCATCTTCAAATTTCTTGCGAGGCATTGTTTCTTAAGAATACTGAATTTTGCAGATGTTTCTACCCGTCTCATTTTTTGTGTGCAAAATAAACACTCGAAATGTCACACAAGTCAATGGCGACAGATTCAGCTCCACCAGTAATTCAAATGCATACTGCATTGCCTATTTTAGATACGTCAACTGACATATCCAGGTAGTACTTGAAGAAATTGACATTTTTAGGACAAAGAAGATGTTTCTGTTTTGTTTCCTTTCCCCCTCTGAAGACAAAAAAAAAATGAACCTGGAAATGTCATTCAACAGGTAGAAATTAGTCATATCTGAAGTTTAGAGTGTTAATATCAGCAGGAATATGAATATGAGGCGAGTCACTAATGTTCAAAGTTATTTCTCACTTTGATCTTTGAATCGCGTTGCATCTGAAATCTTAACGTTATATTTGTTGTTCCCGTGTGCAAGGTGATCCTGTCGTCTATCTGGCTGATGGGCTTCATCATTGCTGCGGTGCCACTTATGAACGAAGACGTCTTTGGGAACTACTACGGACGCAACGGAGTCTGCTTTCCTCTACACTCTGACAGGCAAGAGAAACCTACAAGCAAAGGATATTCAACTGGGATATTTCTAGGTAAATTAAAGAAAACATTTAATTTTCCTTTCTATAAAATTACTGATATTTGCTTTCTCCATTTATGAGAAGGCTCATTTGCATTGAATTAATCTGCATTTAATTCAAAAATTCTGTCTTTGAGGATTTGTGTGTAATCACAATCCAAAAGAAAGATTAATTATTTATCATGGAAAATTTACGAGTAATCTGAGTTGTTGCTCTCTGATTTATGGAGCTCTGGCAAACTAACAACATTTTCCGTCAATAAACATAGAGGATTTATTATCAATAGATTGTCAGCCTGGCAATTATTACTCAGTGTTCTTTGTGGGCTTCAGTCTGAACGTCACAGAATTATTTTTATATCCTGTAGTAAGGTTTGGCAACACTTCAATTACTGGGGCTTTGCTTTTAATGATCTAATGTTTTAAGTTTATGTGGTAGTGTTTCTTTTTTTTCCACATTTTACCTTTCAGTTTATATAAAGTACAGATTTCATCAATACCCCTTTTCTTAGATACCCCTAAATACAATTTGTATCATGGTTATCATTAAATCGAGTCTGTGTATAAATAAATTTTGATTATAATTTTAGCTGTTTTGTGAAACCCTTAGAGGTTTATTAGAAGAAAAAAATATTGATGAAAACCTGAACCAAATTGCTTTATTCTTCAGTGGTAGCGAGGTAACATTTGATTCAGTTCTGTTAAGGAAGGGAGGCTTCTAAAAGTTGCAGGACTGTCAGGTTGCAAAGTTTATCAAATCATGTTTGCATGTCTTTGACTGGCCCAGTCAAAGTCCAGTCCTAAATCGGAATGAGAATCTTTGAAAACCTTCCTTCCTGATTACAATTGCATTATATTTTCCATTCTGCTGCTCTATCACTTGAAATCCCAAAGAAACACTCGAAGTTTGTGGTTGTAATATGACAAAATATGAATTAGTTCAAGGAGTATGAATGGATCCATTGTGTAAGCCTGCACTGCGACTGAAATGTCACCAGAAGCTTTTCTGTTTGATGCTTTTATGACAGATTTCCATGCTATTTCATGGTAGTTTATTTTCATTTCATCAAAACAGTCTCTTACTTGAACCGCTGTCTTATTTAAAATCTCTGTTATTTTTACTGAATGATTTAATTTAGATAGTTTCAATATTTTTTAAGCTCACAGAAACATGTTGAAAGGACTCCAACAAATCAAAGGTGCGGTTTATGCATTTGTGCTGCAGGATTTTATCTTCTGGATGTATTTAATGATACTATTTGCACCCAAATGTGGATGGCATTGATTATTTACTGATATTTTTCCATGGTGATGTTGTGTTACAATGATTTTATGGAAACTTTGGTATGATGCATGCTGCACCATCCATTAAATTTTATGTCAGCACACCCGAGCAAATTTGAGAAACCTTAGTTAGGGAAAAGCCTAACCAAAATTTCTGTTTTTCTTCTTTAACAAGACGAGGCTTGAGTCCAATATTGCTGTATCTGCACAGCCAGTCATTTTTGTTTTGATGCTTGTCATTGCAAAAGCTGCTGCCATTTTGCTAAACTGAAAGTTCTTTATGCTTCTCCTTTGTCTGGACACACGTGTGAACAGTCTGTTCATTGTTTTAGGTCTAAATCTGGTGGCGTTCCTTGTGATCGTCTTCTCCTACTCCAGCATGTTCTATTCCATCTACAAAACTGGAATCAATGCGACTGACCTGCGGAGCAGACTGCACAGAGACGTGGCAGTGGCCAACAGATTTTTCTTTATAGTGTTCTCTGACGCCCTCTGCTGGATTCCCATATTTTTAGTGAAGATTCTCTCGCTGCTGGAAGTGGAGATACCAGGTGAAAACAGCAACTTTTCAGAAACTTTAAAATCATTCCATTATGATTATAATCGCTAAACAAGTGTACAGACCATAACTTCTGGAAATTTTGAAATAATTCTTAATGAAGTTCACCCATTAAATCAGTTTATAATAATTTATATTGACTAGGACATGCATCTTCAGTTTACAGTTTAAAGCTGTTTGTGTATAAGTCAAAGCTTAAGCATTCAAACCACACACAGCAGTGTCATCTTGGAGGGGAAATGTTACAGTTCTACTCTGCATAAAATATCCAAAGTTTGACCCTGAAAATGTAGTTTGAATTTTCATTCACCCCTGAATAAAATTGCATTAAATGAGGTCAGGATAAGCTGCTTTTGCTGCAAATATTTCATGTGAAAACGTGCATCATTCAGTTTCAAAGTCTTAAGAAAAAGTGATCTCTACTCTTAAACCCATTCATTTACAGCATTGCAAAAATCTAACTAATGTTAAAAGGCTGACAGACCCCTAAACCACTCGTTTCCCCTAAAATGTGTATAAACACATCAAGAATTGGCTTTTCAGATTTTTCCACAGATACCACTCTGGGGAAAAGACAAGTATCATGTGACCACAACTCTAGTGTCTTGGATATGTCTCCTGTGTCTCAAGAATCCTTAATGCATCTAGATTTTAAACCTTTTGATATTGTATGTCTGACAGGAACTAATTGCAACCTGAAACTTTTGACCTGCTGCCTTTACATTGTGCCTCCTTCAAAACATTTTTAAGCCTTTTTGTACCTGGAATATTGCAGAAAGTACATATTTTCTGCATGTATTGAAAACTGCTATGTTCAAACCTCTTTAATAAAAGAATTATAACTGTAGGGCCCATATGTACCACAGCAGAATACAAAGAAACAACATTGAAAATGAATTTTATCAACACATTAATTCAATGTTCATGCTTTCAAGGCTTGTTTCCAACTATAGGTCTACTTTGAAAGACATGTTTTAATAGTCATGTATCAAAAAACTCTGTCTTGGTTTTACGGGCCTCTGCACCTCATGCAAAAACTGTTGCCTGAGTCCAACACCTGGAAATGGATAATTTCACAATAGGGAGAAATTTGGCTTAGAAGAGGGAACAAGGCTGCAATACAACAAGGGGGAAAAAAGCAATACTTCACACAAAGTCAATAAAATAAATAAATAAAACTAGCACAAATTATTAGACATAAATCAAATTTTGAGAAGCACAACGGTACTAGATGTTACAATCCTGCTATTGGTCTTGGGTATAAATAGATTCCGCAGTTGTCAGACATAAACCTGAATTTAAATACCATTTTCATTGTGCATCTTGCTGTGCAAATACACCTGCCACGACTTAAAATAGTTGTTTCTTTTTTGCTCCTTCAGACACGATCTCCAGCTGGGTTGTCATTTTCATCCTTCCAATCAACAGTGCCTTGAACCCCATCCTGTACACTCTGACAACCAGCTTCTTCAGAGAGCAGGTGGAGCTCTTGCTCTGTCGCTGGCAGAGAAGACACACCCTGAAGAAAGACCGCAAAAGCCTCACTTCCTCCACCATCTTCGTGGAGACGGCGCGGCCGCAGTGCTACCAGCCGCCTGCCTTCCTCCAGCAGCTGTCGCTGGTCGAAGCGGACCCTCGCTATGCCTAACAGGACTTTTTTTTCTTTTTTTTTAAACTGCCATTTTTATAAACTGTGGGTCATAGGCCAATTTTATTGCCACATTTTTAAGCTCTTACATGACAGCAGCACTGTTTTTAACACTCCCAGGAGGAAAAAAAAATGTTACAATCACTGTGCTGATTCATCATGCTCTGACATTTTTTTTTTTTTAATGTCTTGTGTTTTTTGTCGATTGTGCACAAAGGCAGCACCTTCAGCTTACTGTTATAAATGTCTTACTCAGAGCCTCCTTAGCATGAGCATGAGGAGCCAAGGCTTACACCACCAATGTTGCATCTTGGAGGAGTTTCTGTGTTGTTTAAGCTGCAGCTTCCACCATACGTTCTACGAAAAGGTCTAACACGTAGATTACATCCCACACTCGTGACACCTGTTGATACTTCAGTGTCATCTGATTGAATTTATGGGAGATGTGCAAAAGCAGATATCACTTTTATCTCAGTCACATACACTGTTATCCATGGAGAGACTGACCAACTGTTACACAATTATCTGGAAGCTGAACTGAGTTCAATCAGAAATGGACAAACAGATAACGAACAAAAGGACTTTTGCTTTTTTTTAAGATGTAGCACTCAGACGTATTTTGATTATAAAATTACAAATCAGCTTTTGCATTATGTAGTCATTTACCGTGCACAAAGTTAATGCATGTATGAAAATGCCAAAAAGAAAAAGAAAAGAGAAACAAACGTTTGGGTTAATTTTTGAATCTGAGAGATTTAGTCTTTCTGTTTCAATCCATTTCTTCTGTAATTCCTTTTCCTCTTGTCCTTGGGTTTAGAGGGCTTTTCAGTTTTACTAAATAAAGTTGTATATATATAAATTAGAATACCAGATAAGTTAGTTTAATTAATTCAGTTTAGAAATTAAAACTCAATCTTCACATACATTTATTACAGACACTCTGTATATTCTATACAGTTTTGTCTTTGACTACATACTATACTTTAATTTTTTTTATAACTGATGATTATGACTTTCATGATCATAAGTAAAAAAATTCAAAATGCAGTTTCTCCTAAAAATTTTAAAGTTTGCAGTTATAAGAATTTGAAGAATGTGAATTTACTAAATGTTTTATGCACTTTATACTTAGCTGGGGATCCTTTTGCACAAATTTCTGCATGATTGAGATGTTAACAAAGCCAATGGTGTGTTAATTGCCTTTAGCTCATCTGCATTTCTTTTATTGATTCTCTATGGGGTTTGAGTCAGGGCAATTTGCTGGCATGTAAAGCAAGGTATACACAGTGTCCTGGATAATTCAGTGTGTTGCGGCTCTCTAATTCAAGTTTCACTATTCGCCTTCTGAATGAGCCTTTGATTGGGCTTTACCTCTTATGGCTTAGGTTATCCCCTGTCTTTATGAATCTTTTTTTCTGTTCACCTCCATTAATGTTATATTATATTTTTATGTTCATATACCTTGTGGAAGGTCTTAATGACTGTCAAGTCAGCAGTCTTCCCCATAATTGTTTAGTCCATAATGCACCCCTCTGTATTTCAAATCTTTTTTTTAAACTGATCTTAAGTATTACTTGTTGGTTTTGGGGGGTTTTGTTCAGAAATTGAGGTTTTTGATTTTTAGGTACTGAAAACTATAATAATCAAACTTAACAAAAATAAAATAGTTCCTTTGTTAGATGGTGGATATAAGTTTCCTTCTTTAGAAGATGGATTTAAGTTTCATTTTTGAATTGAATTACTGAAATTATGTTTTTTTTATTATATTATAGAGATGAAAATGAAAATACAGAAGACAAAGGTGAATTAAAATTTGTTTAGGGTTGTAAGAAGCTTTGGCTCTTTTATTTCTGTTCACCAGTCTAATCCTGATGCCAAATTTCCCGTGTTTTTAACCAATTTTACCAATTTCATCTGCACAAGTTTTATTCATTCATACCTCCTTTGTATGTTATGTGAACAACTTGAACTGGATCAATGTTTTTGTATCAACCTTAATTTTTTTTGTCTTTTTTATTGCACTTATTGACATAAGAAGGCCTTAATGCATTATTTAGTTGGTTTCAAATTTGCTTTAAATTTCATTGTTTTCAGTTTCTTCATACCAATGCATTACATGCTTTTTAGCAGGTGCACTGACGTTGACAATCTCAAAATATAATTTTAAATGGCACATTAGTAGTTTGATTAGTAAAGGAAAATTAAGCAGATGAATGAAAAGGATTATTTATATCATAAATATATTTTGTAAATATCTGCTGTGGAACCAGCAGATGTAAATCTGATTAAATAAGAAGTGTCACTTGCTGTCATGTTCATTTGTACATTTTTATTATAATTTGTTACAAAAGTATGTTATGTACCATATGTAAAATGTTTTTTGAGTCAAGTTCTTGAATTTTATGGTCATTGTTTTCTCTACATTTTGAATAAAGATTTGGAAAAGAATAATCCTGTTATTTTACAATTCTGTATGAATAGTACCTTTTCAAAAGCTGACTGTGACTTGAAAATCAGGGGGCTGCTTTTGAAAGAGTCTACTGCTTGTACTATGATTGACAACACTAAACTGAGAAAAAGATGAGAATGTTTACAAAGTGGCTTTTTTAAAAATCGCATAACCAGTTCTTAAAAAGCTGAGCTTAAGGAGCAAATGCCACTCTGAATATGAGAAAGTCTTAAGTTGTGCTTTTTATTTCAAGATTTGCCTTCAGAAAAGCTAGAGTTTTCTATGTACCACATATGGTCTTAATCAGAAATTTTTCAGGCTTTGTGTAAAATTCAGTGTTTCTTTTTAGAAAAAAACAAAAAACAAAACAGAAAATCCAGATTCAACAATGCAGGCTGAAGCACAACCATTGTCAGATGTCCTGAACAGAAACACCAAGATAGTGCTAAGACTGACTCAAGATCAGAACCAGACCATGCCATTGTTAAAAAAAACTGAAAAAACATTTATTAAGAAGAAAAATAAAGTTAATAAAAAAAACTACAATGGAAAGCAAGTGTCAAAATCAGTGGCTTTATGTAAATACATGGATGTGCTGTTTGTATGCTCATGGAGTGCTATGACCTGAAAACAAAGACGAATTAAAATGTGCATCCTAAGGAGGAGAATCAAGTTTATAAATGTGCCTTCTCTTTATCCTCCAACACTCTCATTCAGCTGATTGGTTGCATTATTTTCTCATGAATGACTGAAACCTACACATGATCTAAAATAAAAAGGAAACTGCCAATAAAAATCAGTGGTGGGAAGTAACGAAGTACAAGTACTTCGTTACTGTACTTAAGTACA